GTGTGGAACCTTTTCGTGTATAACCTCGCGGCACCAGTGCAATTTCTTGATTTTTTCTGGTTGTTATTTTCCTTCTTTTTTTTTTTTTCTTCAATTTTTTTTTTTTTTTTTTTTTTTTTTTCTTGATTTGCTAGTATAAACTTGTTCGAACCTACCAAAAATTTATCCGAACTTGTCTGCTCTTCTTCTTCATCGTCAGAGCAAACATGTCAGCACATCCGTATCGCATGAAAGCCGTAGGTGGAGGGTCAGCTCCATACCCTACAGACAACGGAGTTGGAAGCTCAATTCCGCTCCCAGGTGACAAACAAGCCCTTAATCACAGCCACTTTGAAGGACAATTTGGTGGGGCACGGGCCTCAAAGCAAGACGAATACGACACTTCCACAGATGAAAGCAGAAACTCTGCGTCTGAATATAGTAATGGGGACCAAACGGGCCATATCATGCCTGGAAATGGATTTGGTGACCAGGGTGTACATGGATTTGGCAGTAGCCGAATGGGCAACGGGTTTGGGGGCCAACAGCTGGCTGATGGGATGAATGGTGGTGGTGGAGTTGGTGGAGTTGGAAATGGATTTGGACTCCAAGGACCTAACTTTAGCCATAAACAACAAGCATCAGTTGGATCTATTGGTTCGGGTACAGGTACAGGTTCAAGTTCTGGCTCTGCCTCTGGATCACAGTCTACTGACGTTAGAGACGTCTACGAAAGGTCTCCACCTCCTATCTTTTCCAAGAACAAGTCACCTCCCTACAACTCCCGGTCTGTAAATTCGTCGATAACGAACTTGAGAATTAACCAGCAACAGCAACCGCAGGGACAGCTACAACACGACTCTCCGGGCCAAGGGCCCTCTGGCTCTAGATTCGAATTGACTTCGAAATCTGAATCAAACATACCACAGCAACGTTCCACTTACACCCACCAACGACAAGTATCTCTGAACTCATCCTTCATTGATAGGACGGACACTGCTAGCATGGCAGATAACTCCCATAACATTATTCAGCAATACCTTGGACTGAATCTGCATAGAGCCGTTCCCAGAATTAAGACTTTGGAGTTGTACAGACAGAACGCCAAGAAGTCCGACGACCCATTGGTTTTGTTTGAGTACGCTCAATATATGTTACAGACTGCATTGATGATGGAAAATGGTGAGGTTTCTTTAGGAGGATCCAAAAATAATTCTCCGGGTAGTTCTTTGGAAAACTCTCCATTGAGAAGCAAGAAGAATAAGAGCAGACCTGCTTCTGCTGGTTCGTTCGATAGATTGATGAAAAACCATAAAAAGTCACCTAGTAATTCGAACTTGTCAGTCTCCGACGAAGAAACCATTGCATTAAACGACATGAAATTGAAAAAGGAGCTCTTAAACGAAGCTTTACTTTATCTTCGTAAGTTATCAGATAAAGGTTACGTCGATGCTCAATATTTACTAGCAGATGCACATTCACTGGGCGCATTAGGAAAAGTTGAGAACCGTTATTCATTTTCTTTATTTCAATCTGCTGCTAAGCATGGCCATGTAGAAAGTGCGTACAGAACCTCCTATTGTTACGAGGAAGGTTTGGGTACTGGAAGAGACGCAAGGAAGGCTCTTGAGTACTTAAAAATGGCTGCACTGAAAAATCACCCTGCTGCAATGTACAAGTTAGGAGTATATTCATTTTATAACAGAATGGGGCTCGGCAACGATGTTAATACGAAAAAGATGGGGATTAAATGGCTTACAAGAGCCTCTAACATAGCGACCGAATTAACCGCTGCAGCGCCCTTTGAATTAGGAAAAATCTATTTTACTGGATTTTTGGATATCTTGATTAAAGATGAAAAATATGCATTGGAATTATACAGCAAGGCTGCTGCATTGGGACACATTGAACTGGCCAAAATCTTAGGCCAGTACTATGAAGTTGGCGATATTCTACCACAAGATTCCAACTTGTCAATACACTACTATACACAGGCTGCGTTAGGTGGAGACGCTGAGGCTATGTTGGCTATGTGTGCATGGTACTTGGTTGGAAGTGAACCATTTTTACCCAAAGACGAACTGGAAGCATTTGAATGGGCATTAAGATCAGCAAATGCCAATTTTGTCAAGGCACAATACGCATTAGGTAACTTCTTTGAGAAGGGAGTTGGCTGTGAAAAAAATGTGAAAGAACTGCAAGAATGGTACAAGAAGGCAGCAGAGAATGGAGATGAGAAGTCTTTAGCACGAATTCTCGATAAGGACTGGGTAACAAAGTATAACAAGAACAGAAAGAAAAATAAGAAGATTACCAAAACTGGTGCACCACCACCACCTACTGCCCCATCAATCCCATCTGATGGAAATAAGTCAAAGGTTAAAAGTAATGCAGCAGAGGAAAAAGAGTGCGTGATTATGTAATACAAAAAGTTAGTTCTATTTATTTAATGTAATATGGAAGGGTAAATAAAACATTGGGAATAAATGATGTAGGCTATATAAATTTAGGATGATGTAATGAGTCCTCCCTTACCCTGTCGGCAAGCGATAAGGCCAGGGGTCCGCCAAGGGCGTAGCATACCTAAAAATAACCTACCTTGTAGAAGTGATCTCACTTGGCTATGCTTCACCAACCGACACCGATGATGCGAATTTTAGATGCCGAACAAATCAAAATCGGAACGAAGATGGAAAAAACAAGCGCCAAGAGCGGTAGTGTGGCTCACAATATCCCTGAAACAAACAATATATTTTATCGTCCCCCTTAGAGGAGAGAATCCGAGAAGCTTCTCTGCGGAGAGCTCACAGAAGATATGCATCTGAAAAGAACCGCTGAAAGCAAAAAATATGCCTTTACCAGTTCTAAAGCAACTGGGATAATGACTGTATCTTCAGTTGCAGAGAGCAGGATCAAGATGCCTCCCATTCACTCACCGTCGGCATTTGAAATTTAACCTTCTTGCGGCGTCTCAGTGCAATCACGTTTTTATTTTTCATCGAACATTCTCTATTATGCACTTCGAGCAGGGCTCATTTCTCAAGAGACACCCACACATTGAGCTTTGTCGACGTGGAAAAGGTAACCCCATCAATTATTAGTATAAAAGAGGAGGAGCCCCTTATTCAATTGAGTGCATTTGAAAAATTTCTTTCAATTTTATATATAAAAACACAAACAAACATGTCTGCTAACGACTTTTACTCTTCTGGCCAACAAGGCGAATACAATGCTCCACAAGGAAACCAAAACCAACAACAGGGTCAACAAGAAGATGGTGAAAGAGGATTATTGTCCACCGTCGTCGGTGGTGCTGCCGGTGCTTACGGTGGTTCAAAGATCAGTGGTAACCACTCTACTTTAGGTGGAATTGCCGGTGCTCTTGCTGGTGCCGTTGGTGCCAACAAGCTTGAAAACTTCGTTGAAAACCGTCACCACAACAACCAAGAAGGTGGATACGGTCAACAAGGTGGATATGGCCAACAAGGTGGCCAACAAGGTGGTCACCATGGTGGTCATCATGGTGGTCCAGGTGGTCCAGGTGGTCCAGGTGGTTCAAGAGGTGGTAACTTTGGTGGTCAAGGTGAATTTGGTGGACCAGGTGGCCAAGGTGGATTTGGTGGACCAGGTGGTCAAGGTGGATTTGGTGGACCAGGTGGCCAAGGTGGATTTGGTGGACCAGGTGGCCAAGGTGGATTTGGTGGTCCAGGCGGTCAACAAGGTGGTCACCATGGTGGTCCAGGTGGCTTCGGTGGTCAAGGTGGTCAAGGTGGTCAAGGTGGAAGATGGTAAGGAAACTTCACTTCAATGCTAGTATATAGAGAAACGATTTAATACATACCAGTCTCTTTGAAGATGATAAAGTATTTGAAAGGCATTGTAGATACGTCAATATACCCCACTATTTAGTGCAACAGTAGCTTTAGTAATTCAGGCTCGCGAACTGTAAGATCACCGTTATGTGTTACACGGAGATGTCCACCGTCTCCACATATGCAGTGATGGTTACACATTTTTTATGCACCATAATATTTTCGAACACTCCACTTTCAGAACTTGAATATTCTATTGCGGTAAAGATTTCAGACTAAAAGTATGGATCAAAAAGTTGACAACATTGCATCGTTACATTTCATGCTGGGCGAAAAGAAAAGGCTCTAATTAAACTATCCTTATTTATTAAAAGTGGATGTTAAGCAACTGGAAGCTTAAATCTCCCACTCATCTATGCCATACAAAACTTTACAATGCGAGACCACCTCTGTTGCCTTCAAAGATGCCCAATGCTGCAATTTAAGGCGTATTGTGCTCATCATTTTTGTTACAGCCATTTTAAATAAGCAGCTCCACACATTCGTGCATGACGATAATACTGCATATAAAACTACATGTTGCAGAGTTGCATGGGTGCAAAAACCCTCGCAAGATCTGAAGACGTTAGTTAATGTATCAGTTGGTACATTACGTAAAGCCCTGTTGAGCCACAAAGGGTTGATGATCGGTAAAAATAACTTAATTTATACTTCGTAGTATTATTTCAATAACAAAATTTTATTTTTTATGTATACACAGCATTATTAAATTTGTATTGAAAAGAGAATGTTACACGTTGAAGACTACTTCGTGAATAAAGTTCTCCAGCAAGCTACAGAGTTTCTTAAATTAGTTCAGATTACTGTAATAAGCCGTGAATGTTTTAAAAAGAACGGTTATTTAGTTCTTTTGTATTGGAGAACCATAAATGCTTATTTCAATTACTGTTACGAAACCCTATTACCAGCCAAGAGACTTCTGAATGCTTGGCAAAAAAATATCGTCTCTCGTAGTTGCAAAATCAGTATGGTTTCTCCAGTAGACGTTACATACTTAAAGGCGAGTGAATAGCATAATTTGGACTGAGTATCTTCATGCCTTGCTCGTTTTAGACGGTTCAATTCCTATTCAGTAGTACTTTAATATGACAAAATTGCTTATCACTGTTGGGGTATGGGCTTATGTACTTGCTCTCGCAAATGCAATTGAATACATTACGGTGACTTATGATGATGGATCTACTTCAAGTTCCTCAAGTGGATACATAACGGTAACCTACGATGATGACCCTACTTCAAGTTCCTCAAGTGGATACATCACAGTAACTTACGATGACGACCCTACTTCAAGTTCCTCAAGTGGATACTTAACAGTAACTTACGATGACGACCCTACTTCAAGTTCCTCAAGTGGATACATAACAGTAACTTACGATGACGACCCGACTTCAAGTTCCTCAAGTGGATACAAAACGGTAACTTACGATGACGATCCAACTCTAACACCTTCTTCAAAAACTGGTAGCAGTGATTCTCGAGGCAGTGGTACCACTCCCGTTCCCTCAAAAGCTAGTAGAAGTGATTCCCCGGGCCGTTTTACCACCCCTGTCCCTCCTAAAAGCGGCTCTAGTCACAGTATCGCAAATGGAAACTCTGATCATTGGGTAAGGTCTAGTAGCACTTATCCTAGTGGGGGCTATCTTGGAGGCTCTGGTACTACTCCCACTCCTCCAGGTGGAAATAGAACACAGACTATTTCTATTGCTACTTCTTTTGATGCAGGCGCCAATATCTTTGAGCCTATGCTTGGTACAACAATAGGAACTATTGCCATTATTATTGCAATGTTGCTTTAATTTGAAAACAAAATTAATTTTGTCTAGGTTACAATTTAAATGAATACCCTTTCTACCCTCCACGCTTATCGAGAGATTGATAAAGCGTCTCACAAATTGACGCCGATAATCCATTTCGCTTATTTTGACATATCTATACTGAGGAGGAGTTTGTAGCCGACCTGAACTTCTTCGACCTATGTAGTTCTTACTATCACCGATTCTTTTAAAAGGAGTGATTCTATGAGTAATTCCTCAAGAGCTCTAAGTTTTGTAGACTTCCCCTACGTTAAAATTCGTTCTTTACTGGGCTATCATGGGTTGCAACACCACCACAGTAATATCCTTATACGATTTAGTCTCAATAATTACTCAATGAATAACTTGATGTGTATTAACAGTATGTAAATTTATATCTAACAAAAAATCAAAAACAATGACTGTACATAAGTGAATTAATTCTCCATGGATGGCTATGTTTTGCAATTGTAATTTTTGATTATGATTATGATTATTATTATCATTATTAGAATAATTTTTGATGTATTTTTTTCTTTTTGTAGTTTTGCTATTTGCTATTGGTTTTTCAGTTTTTGATTTTAGTTCATTATAATTTTGATCTCTTAGTTGAGCTGAAGGTCGAATAAAAAGAAACAATGCTTTGAAATCCCGCCTATTGACAACACAATTTAGACCAGAATCCCTTGCTTTCGCTTTCGTCAACAGCTTGTTGTTGGTGGTGGACTTGATATTGTTGTTGTTGTTGAGATTGGTGCTGTGCCAGTTGTTGATGTAATTGTTGATGGGGATCATAACTTCCTTGGTTTCTGTTGATCATGGCTCCTGATGTATCGTACTTATTGATGTTTTGAACCAGTCTGCTGTTGTGTAATCCAGAACCATTGGTCAACATGTCATTAGCTCCACCAAGATTATTATTGTTATTACTAGATTCTTGCTTGATTGGGGGTAATGGTCTATTAACAAGATGCTGCAATTTTTGTTGGTGCAACTGAGCAGCAGTCAAGTTGCCAGTTGCACCACCAACTGCGGAACCTGGAATACCAGCAGTGGACGACATGCCCTGTTGTTGCTGAGCTTGTTGTTGTTGTTGCTGTCTTGATCTTCTTTGATCTCTATGTCTTCTTTCTCTTTCATTAGGTGGGTTTGGATGTCCATACCCGTGTAAATTAGGTTTCTTGTTAATTGAGGAGTCCCATCCTTTACCACCGTTCAAATGCAACCAATCGTAATCACCATCACAACGTTCTCCCAAGTCGTCCAATATTGACAAAAATAACATTCTATACTCTTCATAAGCTGGTTCTGCATCAAATGGTAATGATCTTACGGAATCCAAATATTCAGCAAATTGTCTTGGTAAGCCTTCACATAAAGTTACAGCTGGAGTTGTTCTCTTCTTATCACCAATCTTTTCGTATTTTTGCTTGTTGGTTGGAGCCTTTAACCCTTGCCAAGGTAATTGGCCTCTTAAAAAGTAAAAAAACACATGACCAAGAGCTTCTAAATCATCTCTTCTCAGTTGCTCTCTTCCTAAATGAGTGTTTATGGACATATAACGTGCTGTACCACTTAACGATTTCTTTTCCCTGTACGGAATATGTTGCTTTGTTCTTGGGTCTCTATAATGCTTGGCCATACCAAAATCAACTAAATGAACATTGTTTTCATCTGGGGATGATTGTCTCCCAATTAAAAAGTTATCCGGTTTAATATCTCTATAAATTAAGTCATGTCTGTGAACCTCTTCAATTAACGTCAACATTTGGATGGCGATTTGAACTACAGTTTTAACTGAAAACCTGCGTCCACACCAATCAAACAAATCTTCCAATGAAGGACCCAAAAGATCAATTACTAAAATGTTATGTAAACCTTCTTGTCCAAAATAGTAAGCGTTGGGAATACCAATGGATCCTTGTAAATGCTTGTAAGTTCTGTACTCGTCTCGTAATTGGGGTGCCTCTGTCTTTCTTGGTTCAAATTTAATGGCCACTGGTACGCCGTTTATTATGTTGGTACCTTCGAAGATCACTCCAAATGAACCTTCACCGATCTTCTTACCAATCTTGTAATGGAGACCAACAACAGAGTTGTTACTGCTGTTATTTTGGGATGAAGATGACGATTGATTAGGGTTGTGGGCGGCGGCAGCAGCCAATGCTGCGGTATTTGAAGACATGTTGCGGTTGGACATAGTACTTTGCAACTTTTCTTTCTATCAACGCTGTGGTGATGATAACAAGTCTTTATCAACTATCGTTCTGCTTACTTTTCTTAAAAAAAAAAAAAAAAGCTCCAATTTTTTTCGGTTTATTTTTTTTTTTTCGATTCTCTGTGTGTAAAGGGAGCACCTACCAAAAAATCAGTGTGTTTACAACAGCAACGGTAACGAGTAGCTCAGTGAATTGTACGCTATGGGAAGCCGTCTGATTGGTCGAAAACGTTTCTTTCTTCCTCACCTTTTCTTCGCCGAAGTCAGCCACTGTGCTATAATTTCCAGTCCAGTGGGGAGGAACGAACAAAAAAGTGTAAGTCGAAAAAAAGAAAAGCTTGAAATTTAGTCTCTCTTTTTAGATATGTTTCACCCAGTGGATACCTGTTCTACTTAGATTGCTTTACACACTAAACCTTTTCTGAATCAATAAATCGGTAAGAAGATGTCCTTCCTATATATTGTTTATTTTTTTTCTATTTATATTCTTGCCCTTTTTCTGTGGGTGAAGGGGGAATGAACGACGAACCAGAACAAGATTAAGATTGTGTAGTGAAAGTGACGGACGTTCATTGTGTCGTTGGCTCTTGCGGGTCTGCGTTTGACGATTGTGTAGGTGAAAATTACACAAAGCCGCCCTTTTCCCACTCAGAACTGAATCAAATGTCCTGCAGAAAGATAAAAGCTTAAAATCAAACATGCACGAGTACAGTCGATGATACAGATAATGTATCAAGAGCGGAATTCGAGAACAGGTTGTTTTGGATTCGAAGTTTTGTTTCAGAAGTCAAAGAAGAGATGGGCTATTTTTGGAACCTGCTACAAGTGAACTGCGATTGTACTGTTTTACTCTGAGAGTCAGCGGACTGTGGTTTTTGTTCGCCTGGTCTAATATTTTTTACTCTCTTTTCTTTTTTATTCATCGTACCCCAATTGCGGCGCCTCAATGATAATCTCCCAAATCAAAGGGTCGAAAAAAGAAAGAAAAAAAAAAAAAAAAGAAAGAAATCTGGCATGCCCAGGTGAGAGTTGAAAAAACAAATCGACCTCACTACCTCGCTCCGTTGGCTTTTTTTAGGTTGTCTATACATCGCCACTGGATATCTTCGTCAATAATTACACACTGCACTCAATTGGCACTGAATCGAAACTTGCTTCCTTAGTTATTTAATTCTTTGACCCTCGCTGCGCATTTATACGCAGAATTCTCTCCCCCTATTCTTCTATTGTCCTACCCTTGCATCAAGCATTTTTGCTAGTTTGGGATTCTGTGTGTCACGTGGAAACCGCCAAGGCGGCGCCTAGCTGTATTTATAGCGAACGCTAACCGTGCCAGGCCAGTAAATCGCACCGATGAGTTTTCAGTATGGCTCTCTCACCGACTGTGTCTCTCTCTACCACTCTCTCTACCACTCACTTCAACACAGTCTGTCTCTGATGATAACTGCCACTTAGGCTGTAATACTCGCCATCGAGCTGTCACACTTCTTCTCAAATAAACAGCTGGACCTCGTGCACAAGCACCAGCGTCGAGCACTTTACTTTGGTGTATATTTTGCAGCAATTTCCATCACCATCTTAAAATTATTGCATAATACTGTCCTTGTACAGTAATCGGTCGTCTAGCGTATGTGGTACCTCTCACTGAATTTCAAATTCAACCAGGAGTTTTCTCTGTTACCCTTTCTACACAATAATTCTCACCGTGTGCCGAACTAAGCTTTTTACAAGCATACACAGCATCTCTACAAAGCAGCTTTCGTCTTCTTCTTAATGCTTGTTTATTCTATACTATAGTACATAATTGTATTCAAGATATCAATATTAGTCCATGCCACGATGTATCATCAGCATGATAGTTTCTGATGGTCAAGCTGTGCCAGCTTTATTAACCCATGCTCATTGCACAGAATGTAAGTCCAGATTGCTCAGCGCTACCTACTGATGCTACCTCTCACCAAAAATATCTCATCCCCATTCTTGAATCTGCTACATCTCTCACTGGTTCCCACCAAAATTGGATCTCCCAGTTGGCCCGCCAAAAACATATTCAACCTTTCATCAGAATCGTTGGTAGAGTTATTATAATTCCGTATCCTCAATAACTCGGCAATATTGTCTAATGCTCTTCCTGCGGGCCAGTTTTTATTTATAAATATAGCTTCCGCTTTGCCTTCCTTTCCGTCTATCGTCTTCACCCACACATATATTTTATCTGCAACTTGAATCTTGGAATCTCCCCGTGCAGTCTTTCTTAAAGTCGCAAGGTCCACCACCTTGCGCGAAGTGGCTGTAGATGTAGCGCTAGTGGCTGTCTTGGAAACAAACAGCGATTTCCTCTTTTGAAGAAATTTCGTGAACTTCGAAAATGCAGTGGTCTTACCCTTTGCAGCATCTCCAACTCTAAACAGGGTAGCTTCCAAGATTGTGGTAGGCTTGGGTGGTTTATTCAACGAATCATCCACTTTTTTCATATCATTTTTCCTATCCGGGAAAAGTGAAGCGACAGGTTCTTTCGAATCCTTACTATTGACGTAGTCAATAAGATCACCAGCTTGTCTTTGGGGTCTCTTTCCTGGACAACTGTGAAGTTCCAAAGTTCTGTGATCAGAACAATATACATGATTACAGAATTCGCAAGGAAATGGCAAGAAATCCAATCTTTGACATTTAAAACAATGCTTCCCTATATCAAGGATACCTTGAGTATCGTCTCTTTTGGTCATAAATAAGGGCATTGACATGTTAGTAAATTCTGGTCCCAGAAAGCTTTGACTAATTAGTAGTTTTTTTTATATAGTAAAAGGTCTTTTGCTTAAGTTTTTTTTTATATTTATTTGTTTAAAGTGAATAGAGAATAATCACTGGAGACCGGTAACTTACATTATATGTCGGGAATACTCTTTGGTGGCAACCCAATAGTGGCAAGAGTATGATTACAAATTTGGTGTGTCGTTTTTTTCTAGCAGTTTCTACGTGGTGACAGAATCATCACAAAAAATAATCCGCGCCCTACCCAAAATGGCTGGGAGAGCTGAATGTTCGGTGCATCAGATTTGCAACCATTCCTTTGCTGAGTCAGCAATTGTGAGTAGATAGACACTTCTATGTAGAGCTATACGTCAGAGACCTGGGACACTGTATGCGGCAATGGCACGGTTCTTCTACCAGATCTAACTGATGCGATGTGCGGACAAGCATGGCTCGTGTGATGAATAGTGCGAATGCTAGTACAGCGCATAAGCGCAATTACATGCCACAGAACTCTGCTCTCCAATTTCCCCAGCATTCAGCATACCAACGCTGTGACCACTATCATGAAGAGCATAACAGTGTTGGATGTCATGGAGATACCAAGATAACTAGGTGAAGAGTGTTGAAGGTAGCAACTCTGCGCTTGCACTGGCACTGGGCGGAACCGCCCTCCACACAGGTGTTACTGAGCGTCTCCTCTGGCTATTCCATGCCACTGGGTAAGCGAGACTTGGAACTCGAGCAACACTCGCCATTCCTGTGGCAACGCTAGCCAAAACAATTCAAAGAAACACTAGAGAAAGAAGGAACCACCGTGCACCCGCGCACCCGCCCATAAGATTCTCCCTTCCCTAACCCCAATGCCACCACACTGTCGACCTTATCCTTAATCTTATGCTTTTCCTTGTCCTATTCATTCCCCACTTTCCAGAGTTTCTTTTTCCTCCCTGCAATCGTCGCTATCCTTAAACTGCAATGGCGGAGAAGCTCCCCAGCTAAAATTTTCGCGCTTACTCGCAGGGACGAAAATCAAAAGTTGCGCCAAACATTTTTTTCACCATCGCCAAATCTCATCGCTTTGAAGAGGTTAGTGTACTCACACGGTGACTGGCAGTTTATACCCTTATAATTTTGGTGGTGTTGATTATGTTTGATTTGAATGTGCCATGGCCCGTACAGACGTATAATAGCCCGTCGCAGCAGCAGCTTACTGGCCTTTATAACGTAATAGCTACGTTGTACTGTCTAGGCTATAATCACCTAGCCATAAACTTTAACGTACAAGAAAATGTCAAACTTCCGTACGGTCAACCGACATCGATAAACCCAATCCCCATGCAACAGTTGAGAGAGCGATTCAGTGAATACCCTAATTTAAAGCTCTTCTCCAGGATTACCTTGCAGATTAGTGATCCGTCTCAGTGCCAGGGATTGTCTAAGCTTCAAAATATCTTCGATATAATCCTGATTCAGCCAAATACTGAAAAAGCATTACAATTGGCCACCACAAACCTAGATATTGACATGATTTCGTTCAGTTTGACTAGTAGACTCCCCTTTTTCCTTAAGCATAAAACTATAGGAGCTGCAATAGACAAAGGCATAAAGTTTGAGATAATATACTCACTGGCACTCACTGGGCCAGCAGGCTACTTGGTTACGTCAGCCAACGATAATATGACCTTATCTACAACGGCGCTATTAGCACGTAAAGTGTTTTTCAATAATCTTATGCAATTGATAAGAGCTTCTAGAAGCAATGGACTTGTAGTATCCAGTGGGGCGTTCCAACTGGTCCAAGTTCGCAATGGCCCAGATATCTTGAATTTGTTGCAAACCGTAGGTCTTGATAGAGCAAGATCGAAGGCATGTATAACAGATAATCCAGAAAAGGTGTTAATTAGTGGTAGATTGAGAATCAAGAGCGCTAAACAAGTGATAGCTGTGAATAATGACGAATCTATGGAGGGACTTTTGTATTCCAACGAGGGAGAAGATCCAGTGAAGAAAACAGAAACCGCAGGTTTTACGAAGAAGTTGTCTGACACTTCCAGTGGTAGGTTATTAAAAAAGCAGAGAATAGTCTGAGACCGTTTAAGCTATACTCTTTAGCTGATTAAAGGATAATTTCAGACCATCCAAGTAACACTCTTTAGCTGAATAAAAAAAAACCCCATTGAGAGACACATTCGGATGAAGGTGACATGACATGCTTTGGTCTCATCATTTGTCAAGTGAATGGGATAATGATTGTGTATTATAGAAATTCAGAGATTTATTGAGTATATTCAAATAAGATAAAGATCAAGATGTTTGGTCCATTGGGGAGAAAAGAGAGGTACATATCTCACCATGTCGAAACTGCAGACGTGGATGGGATTCTACGGCGTATATAAATATGTCATTGCATTCATTAATAAAAGTTATATATTTTTTCTAACTGAAGATAGAGGACCGGATTGCCTGTATCTTAGAGGGCTCACTCACCTCTGTAGTAACTTTGGATGCTGTAGAGTCGGTACTAGAAGTAGATCCTTTAGGTCTGGACTTAACTGGACTCAGTTTCAGCTGGGGCCGTTTACGGGAGAGGAATATCGAAGGTGGTGGTCTTCGCTTTCTGGGAGGTAGTATAGTCTCTGAACTTGCTGTCTCAACCGAAGTTGTGCTGTCTTCGAAAGTAGCACCATCACTTTGATTAGGAAGTATTTCCAGTGGACTCGTGAATAGGCTCTCTACCTCTTTTCTTTTCACATCTTCTACGGTGGGCCTGTGAAGAAGAACCTGCCTCCTTGTTTCAGCTGTATTGAATGAAGTAGGCTTTCTACTGAGCCTACGTTCAACCGGCGACAGCAGCTGTGGTTGCTGCTTAAATGCAGCATATGCATCGTATCTGTTCTGGTTCTTTCCCTGGAACATAATCAGTCTGTTCTTCAATTCTCTTCTCGCCTTGCCAATGATTGTGTTCAGCTGGTAAGACGAAGTATTTCGCCCTACGGAGGTGCCATTGTACATCCTTTTTCTGCTGTTTACAGTTGGATCTCTTAGCAAAGTCGGCACAGCCACTATAGCCTTCGCCTCTTTCTCTTGCTTCAACCTCTCGGTGATTCTTCTGAGTCTCTTCGCCAGATCATTTCTGAAGGCATCTCGCTCCTGACTGTACTGATAGTAGAGTGATCGGTTCGGCATTCTCTCATCAAAAAGATCGCCCTTGGTATGTCTTATTGACGGCCGTATTGGTACTGGTCGCCTTTTACTGTAAATGGGTCTGTCTGGGAAATCTTTCTCTATCAAGTTCGGCCACAAGGTATCTGATAGAGGGATGAGATGAGGGCTACAGGTTTCTATCGTTGAAAGCTGTTTTGCGTTCATACGTTCCAAAACCGGGCTCAATAAGTGAAATGGTGTGGATCCGACATCGTTTAATTTGTATATGTTTTGAATACATTTCTGAGTGGCTAGTTCAACTAAGGTCTGTAGTCGAGTGGAACCTTTGCTTGAGTCTGTCATGCTTGTTGTTTGTGTCTGAATGAACGGGGGATTTGGAGGGGTGTAGAAGAATAAGTAATGGGGTCTGCAGGCTGAAAATTGACTTATTAGGCTCTTTGATCAATCGCGTACTGTATTATACTTCTATTATACTAAAAAGAGGCTACGTTCATGCAAACAGTGGGTTCTTTCAAGGTGTCGTACTGTTGCGATGGGTAAATTTGCTCTGACTTTGCGTGCAGCAGTAGATAGGGTGGATGTCACGTGACCGAATAAGCCAGTTTAGGGACGATGCACTGTGAAAGCCTTTCGCGTTGTATGAGCTACTTTGACTAGCCTAGGGAAGCAGTGCTGAGCTATTTCTTAGTCAGCTAGCTCTCAGCACCCGAGTTTACAAGAAGCATCGCCCGTAAGCAGATATACGTGCTGGACGCATATTCCTATGTTTTCTGTTGCACGTGCGCGTCCTGTGATGTCCTAACAGTAGCTGAAGCATGCGAGAAGAGCATGAGAGAAGAGCAAACAAGATTCCTGTAGGGAAGTCCGTAAGGAGCACCGTTTTTCAATTCCGTCTCGCTGGAAGAGCTTCTCTCTTCTCCCACAGACCAGGCCAACTGCTAGGAATTTTCCCTTTTCATCCTTTTTACTCTGCCGCTATTTCGCAGCCATAGCTTCTGTACAAAGTGTCCCATCTGGATCTGCATAATTCTGGAACTGAGATTCCCATTGAATCATGCAGGTCAGGTCTTTGCTTGGTTATGAAATTGTTCCATGAGTCAAGTGTAATGGCCAGCGATAAGCTTCATATTATTGTAATTTATTTTTTCTTGGAAGGAGTAAACCTACTTCTTAATGTTTGGCGGAAGTCCTCTCTCTCTCTCTCTCTTTTGTCATAAATGAGCGTGCTCGTAAGCGTAGCCCCATCGTTACATATTTCCATCTCGTTCTGTTCCGCTGCCTCTCGCAGCTGTTCCGCCTTACCTCCGGTATTTTTCATGTACTCTTTACCTACCAATACTTAAATTCGTAAAATCTCGGGTTTACAGTTCGAAGCCGAGCCGACGTTTTTGTTTGTAATTCACGTAGAAAGCCAAAGAAAGAAAAATAATAAAAACCAAGATACAAGAGAAGGTAAATAAAACGTTTCTTTTCTTTTCTTTTCTTCTGTCCACCTGTCACCTTTCACTTCACTTCTCTTCTCTGTAACCAAATATGTTCAGTAAATTTAAGAAGGAATCCTCCAAGGGTATCACGCCAACTTCTACCAAGGAGATCGAGAAGACTTACGTACCATTCTCGTCTCTCCCTGTAGAAGCAAAGATTCCAGAGGAACAACCACTTGAAAAGGCACAGGTAGAAAAATATGAAGCTGTTTTCGAACACTTCTCCACGCCAGGCTTGAAAATTGCAGTCAGTGAAGAAAACCATAAGAATAAGGATACCAGCAAATTCCTTGAAATAAGCGAGTCTGAGAAGTCCTGGCTCACCAGAGAATGTTTCTTGAGATACTTACGCGCAACCAAATGGGATACCAAAGAAGCCATTAATAGAATAGAGTTAACTATAGCTTGGAGACGAGAATTTGGTATTGCTGGAAATTATGATTCTGATAACGTTGTAAATCACGAACTCTGCTCTGAGGAGAATGAAACTGGTAAAGAGGTTATATTGGGTTACGATAATGACGCTAGACCTTGTCTTTACCTCAAGCCAGGACGTCAAAACACTAAAACCTCCCTCAGACAGGTCCAGCATCTAGTATACATGCTTGAAAAGGTGATCGACTACATGCCACTGGGACAAGATCTGTTGGCTCTTTTGATTGATTTCAAGGCCAGTCCGGTCGGAACTCAAGGAGGTAAGATCCCTCCAGTGGGAACCGGAAGACAAGTATTGCATATCTTACAAACACATTATCCAGAAAGATTAGGTAAGGCGCTCCTTACAAATATTCCGTGGTTAGGATGGACATTTTTGAAGATAATCCACCCATTCATTGACCCATTGACTAGAGAAAAGTTGGTTTTCGACCAGCCGTTTGTCAACTACGTCCCAGTAGAACAATTGGACCAGGACTTTGGGGGAAACGTCAACTTTGATTACGATCATGCCAAATACTGGCCAGCAATGGTGAAAATTGCCGAAGCCAAGAAGCAACACTACTTGGATAGATTTGAAAAGTTCGGATCACTTATCGGTCTCTCCGAGGTCGACTTGAGGGGTGACTGGGAAGAATTGAAGTTCCCAGTGAAGAAACAACCTCAAGGTGAAGAAGAAGCCAAATAAGGAGGGAATTCCACTATTCCAATGGCACATTTGTGCATGGTGGATACAGAAATTGTAGATAAGTAATGAGAAGGTTTATTTAATTTATATACAGATACATACATGTACAAGAGGTACTGAATATATTCATTTTAATTTATAACTTTGCGAATTTGTAGTCACTTCTAAGTCCAACACGAGTACTTCCTTAGACGAAGGGCTTTGCACACTTCCTCTTTTCTATAATTCCACTGCTCTCGCAAATCATATGTTGCCAGTCTAAAGCGTACATCAAGCCACCAGATCCACCTTCACTCTTGGCAAAGACCACTCCCAAGTCATCCTTGGCAGTGCTAAGGTAGTAGTTTGAGCCATCTCCCAATGAAATCACCACTGCTCTCACGATATCACCTGGCTTGAAGCATTCTATGATCTTTACTTTGTCTCTTTCGGTCAGTCTGACATCCTGCGACCTTATAATCCCCTTGAAAGTCTCGCCCAAGTCGATTGCCTGTGCATTTATAGCAGTTGACTGTGAAGATGCTATGGTTGTGTGTGAGCTGAGGTTCTGCGACCCCCCACCAGCGGCAATCAGCTGGTGTGCCAATTCGCCGTTGGATCCTATTCCGGAGTCCTTTATTACGTTTCCGTGAGATTCTACGGACAAGATTTCTGCAAATGCCTGTCTTGGGTTGATCTTGGTGATTCTGACAAGTACAATATCATTTTCTTGTGGCAAGTTGATGGAGATGTTCGTGCCTTCGATGTCTTCAGCAGATTCCAAGTATGAGTTGGATTTAGGTACCACAGACACTATAAATGTCTTTATGTTGTCCACACCACCACCAGTGGTGGAATTGGTTGAAGATTTAAGCTCTCGAATCACAATTTTTCCCAATATGGTCGCTACTATGACGGGAATGGAACTGAACTTGTTGTTCTCTGGGACTTTTATGTTTGCAACCGTTGTCCCCCTGCCGGAGACGTATTTTTCCACTTGAGAGCCGCTGTTTTCATCTTCCGTATACTTGTATATGGAAGATATGTATTGACCAGGAATAGCAACTGACATCCTACTTGGTTATGGAGATATGTGTATCCTTTGTGGTGCCTTCTCTGCCTAAGTGAAAGTTTGTGTGTGCTTTTTTTTTCGCTGGTAAGGTTTTGATATGTCACTATATACAGGAACTCATCGACTGGGTGCATCGAGCAAGCGAGAATGAAGAACGGACTATCAATAAACAGTAGGCAAGTTTATACTGATGGAGCCTAACATCATAAGCTTTTTGCAGATTTTCTCTTTGTCTTGATATTTGTTTATTATGGTCGCTTACCCAGAATTTGTTAACGGCGCCCCTCCGGTAATTACTTTGAAAGAATATGATGTCGCACCATGGGCTGGTTCCACATGCGTTGACTCCCAACGAGGTGAGTATGTTGTGGTAGTGATGGAAGAACCTACTAAAGTCGTCGCTAGAATCAGTAATGACGATAAGGAAACGTTGGATAAGATCTTCAAATCCGCACATGCTACACATGCTCAACAACAATCCAAGTAGATACAGGTACATGGAACTAGACTGGGAGAGATATCATTGGCACTGCATATAGGTCTTCGGGACAAGTATGGAAGGCTGCTATGCTTACACAGCGAGTGGTTTAAAAGAAGAGGGAGTTTGCTGATATGAGCGTGCTATGGGGCCTCAAAGTGGTATATATTTGTCTCTGTTTACGTAGAGCTTAAAAAAAGTTGACTTTTAGTATCTGAAATTGCTCGATGTAAGACTTTGCTTTCGTTCTTAAGTTTAGCCACTATACAATACTGGTTGAATTAAGACAGCTGGAGCCATCATTACTAAGAACATAGTTTATAATCACAATCGTGTCCTAGTATTTCTGACTTTTGAATATTGCATTCCTTACGTAGTGTCCCTTTAAATGAGCTTCTATCATCTAGAATTTGGTTCGGTCTGAGATGGCTGCAAATTGCAACAGAATCTTAATACTGCTCACTTATCATCGCAGTACAGGTTGGTGATATACTTAGAGTACGGTTCTAACTAAAACACTTTCTACAACTTTTTCACTAATCTCGAAGATCGAATAAATGCAGGTTATATAATTACTTTAGTTCACTCTATAATACTTACTAATACTAATAAAAAATGTCAAAATTTACTTTTCCTTGTTAAAGATGTTTTCTTGTGAAATTTAGAAAAAGTGTGTGTAGCATCTAGAGGTTTCATGTACTGGCATTTGCAGCTTAACCATATTCAACTCCTCCTTAATTTGCTGGGCCAACATGGGTGTAAGTTGGTTACAAGTAGCTGTATCAGGGTGCCTATCATACTCATCTCCATTGTATGTATCATACAAGACAATTCTTGAAGAGAAGCGAACTCCATTACGATGATTAGTTGGCAAGATGACAGTTGGCGGCTTTGGTGGGACTCTTGGAGAAGCAGTAGGTCTTTTCCATGAACGTGCAATGAGTGAAGAAAATGACCTTGGAGATGATGTTATGCTGCTTGGAGAAGGCGCCGAAGAATAGTAGCCATTATTGGTACCAGTAGAATATCCATTTCCGTATCCATTTCCGTATCCATTACCGTATCCGTTTCCATATCCGTTTCCATTCGTATTGTTATTTCTAATCGACCCGTTGGACTTCTTTTTGCCAATAACTGGAGGAGGATCAAAGTTTGGAATATTCTTGCTAGCATAATCATCATCATCATCATCGCCGTCGTCGATCTCCACTTCATTATCAGATCCAAATCCGTTACCAATTCCGGATTCATCATCATCGTCTTCGTCTTCGTTGTCATATTCACTTTCAATGACACCAGTACTACTTCCCACATCGCTGCTATCTGCGAATGAAATATTGAATGATTGATGTGAAGATGAGCTACGGATATTTTGAAGTGCCAACTTTCCTTGGAAGGATGGACCATTTAGTCCTCTAAAGGACATTGAAATAGGTCTGTTATTGTATGTTGTTCTTCCATTTTGGTTTAACTCAGGAGTATTTGAAAATGCTTGCTCAATTAAGGATTCAACTTGAGAATTGGCAGGACTAGCGCCTATTGCTGCTGGTCTTTCTATTTGCTCAAGATTTGGAGTCAATGGCGTACTGACGAGAGCTTCATTTGGAAGCTTTTCGTCCTTTGCAGAATTATTTGTTGCAGCAGATGTGATAGGCGTATTACTAGACAGAGGCGTTTTACTCATTTCTGTGTTTATCCTTGGTAAATCTTTAGCCAAAGAGTCCCTACTTGATTTCTTTGGTAAGTCCTTAGTAAAAGAGTCTCTGCTAGTTTTCTTTGGTAGCTGGATTCTGCTACTTTTTCCAGCGGCATGGCCCGATTTTGTACTAGGAATCGCTGGCAAATCGACTTCTTCCTTTTTCCTAATTGATTCCTTGTTCAGTTGTACAATAGGGGATAATTCTTCCTTTCTCGTGTCAACTTGTGGTACTGGTGAAGCCTCTAAACTTTCAATCTCAACATCAAACCCTTTATCAAAGCTCAATTGTGGACTAAAATTCAAATTTTCAACGTTAATGAAATCCTGGAATTCAATGAAATCATTAAAGTTCCCACTTTCTTCAAAGCTGTACTGGTCATGTTCTTCTTCTTCTCCACCTCCAACCAATTGAGTGGGTTTTAAAATCCTTGACAGATCTTCATTTTCTATGACACTATCTATTTGCAAATTTCTCTTAGAATCACTGTTTTTCAAAATACTTGTAGATCTATTAATAGTGTGGTCAGGAGAAGATAATATGGAAGAATCTCCTTGAATAATATTCTCATTACTTCCATCATAATTGACAAAGGAATTTCTTTTATTTGAAGAAGATCTAAATGATTTCATTGACCTTGATCTCTCTAAGGAAACAATACTCTCCACTTCTTGTGCATTGAGAGATTTTGGAAACAAAGCTTCACCCAATAGTTGTTGATTATCTCTTTCTCTTTTGAGTATTGATGAATTGGTGTTGCTGAATTCTTCTACAGAGTCCTTTGGTGAGTAAGAAACTTCAAATGGAGATCCAAACCCAGAAGAAAGTGGGCGTTCGTCAAGTATAGTAGAAAATCTGGATGGTGCAGTTGGCGGAGGAGCCAAAGTACTTGGAGGTACAAAAGTAGATGAAGTTGTGCTATCATACGATGATCTCGTGTTAGGGGTTGATGAAAGTAATGGTGTGAAAGCGGGGATAGACGGAACAGCAAAGGAATCAGGTTCAGTTCTATTATTATTTCTTCTGCTTGCAGCTGTAGTAGTTATGATTGGGGTCGAATTTGCATTTGAATTGAATTCAGGCTTTGCATTCGATTTTGGGGTGATAATTCTCTGTTTCTTCACAGTTAGCAGCCCTTTACTACTTTCATAATCTTCCAGGTCATCAAAGTTTGGTGGGGACATTTTCAATTCGTAATCTTCGTCGTTAACCTCTCTTATGAAGAACCCATTCGAATTAGGAGTGCTTATATTATCAATAGAACTCTCATCCATTTTACTCTGTGGAGTAGCTGCATTAGTCTTTATAGATGAGGGCTTGGAGCTATCTCTTTTTAATGAAAGTAAATTCTCTGAAGATCTATTCTTCTTGAAAACATTGAGAAATGAGGAAGATGAAGGTGAGGAACCCTTCAGTGAAGATTGAGTGGGTGGCGCGGGTGTACTCATTACGCTTCCCTTCGCTTGTGATGAGGAAGATACCTTCGGCATCTCAGTCAATTTAGAGAGATTAGGCGAGGAGAAAGATCTTGGCTTTTTCAGGAGTTTAATTCTAGGTCCAGAATCTGCTGCGATTGAAGCAGAATTTGCGGCTGCATTACTCTCATTGTTTTTCGATTGAATAGATCCAGCTGGTGATCTTCTGGTTTCTTCCTCATTAAGACTATGTTGCTTAGACTTCAGCTTGAATAATTTCTTAAAGCTAAACTTTTTAGCTGAGGGAACCTTTTGTGGTTCCTCATGCGTTATTTGGGACAAGTCGCTTAATGTGCTACTGCGCTTATGTGAATACTTTGGAGTCAGATGATTCAGTAATTGAGTTTGCTGTTGACTTTGTAACAGTACCAGCCTCTGGTCATTGTACCTTCCATTTATTGGTGGAGGAGTCTCGGTTATCAGTTTCTTCGTGTTATGCAATGAATAAGAACTAGTAGAGTTTTCGTAGTGCGATCTAGGAGTTCTTGGTGTCGATTGTACTGATGGGCGAGTAGTGACAGTATGTGGTGTGTCGAATGTTGAAGAGCTGGTGGTTTGTTTGGGGGTGGAAGACTGGTTAGAAGACGGTGTGTTGCGTTTAGAAGGAGGTTGTATTCTAGGAATATAGTCCGGAATCATGGACTTGGAGGTAGTGCTTCTTTCTGCATTGAGCGAAGGAGAAGGTTCAAGTACGCTGAAAGTAGGAACAGTGCTAGCTCCAGCAGCGCTATTGTTATTTGGGTTGGTATTCTTAGTTGGAGATACGTTTGGAATTGAAGGTGGAGGTAATAAAGAGCTAGAAGATGAAGTGCTGGTCGTGGTGATAGGAGAACCATTGGCAAGCTTCTGAATTTGTTTATTCATATGAGCTCCTTCAATGTTGCTATTTTTCACTTCTTCATTAACCTTTGGTTCAATAAGTGTCGTGTCATGTCCTTCGTCGTCGTCGTCTTCTTCTTTACGTTCGATTTGTTCATCTACTTTGCTCCTGTTCACTATAGGAGTGTCATCACCGTCTTCGAAATTGTCTGTCATTTGCAAAACTGGTGTCTTGTCTCCGTCCATTGTTATCATCGACAACCTGTTGCTAAGAGCATTCACACCATTGTTATGGTGAGTGCTTCCTGAAGTGTGACTCTTAGACGAATGAAACGTTTGCACCGAATGTGTAGACTCTCTAGCGCTTTGCAAGCTAAATACTGAAGTAGGGTTTTTGTCTTCTTCTTCCTCTTCATCTTCGGGTTCTTCCTCCTCCGGGATACTCTGGTGGTCCTCTCGCTCCTCCGAGATGCTGGCGACGGCAGAAGTGCTTGTGGAGCTAGGCTCACTTTTCAGATTCAATATCGACTCCAACGCCTTCATACTTGGCGAAGACTTCATCGCCGACGTTTTCTGAATGGACGAATTGGACGAGGAATTTCTCAATGACCCGTGGATTGATGTGTTGGAAATGGAATGCGGGATGCTTACAGATTTCCGAAGGTTGTCAGCATGATTATCGGCGGATTCATTAGACCCTCCAGAATAAAAGGTATCCGAAAGGACAAAGTCGTCATTCGATGCCATCCTTACTGTTTATTATCGGCCTGACCTAGGAAAAGCAAAAGGAAAAAAAAAACTTAGACGAATGTAACAACTAATCCTAAATATCAAGCATCCAAAATCAACAGTGGTACAAGAAAAAAGAAAAAAACGTTTTCAAAGAAGAAAAAATAAAAATCCATAAAAGCTCGCGTTTTGGGTGAGAAGGGAGTTTGTGGAGAGTCAAGTGAGAGAGACGGGAGGGAGCGAGAGTTGAGGGTGGGTGTTTACATGTTATTATTTTTCGTAAAGAATGTCGGATAGTGAAAAACGAGAGAAAATTGGCGACAGAGTCCTTAACTAAGAGATTCCTATACATTCGATTCGATGTGGGAGGATTTTCACCACTCCTACGCTATTGCATAAACATAGAGGCTAGGTAAGCTTTGAATTTTGGTTTTTTCCTATTTTAAACTTTGTAGGTGAGCAGAAACCCCCGCCTTGTTTCTTAAATACAGCGTGCCTTTATTCAGTACAAGGCACCGAAAAGTGTCAAACACAGGGTTGTATGCAGTATTTCGATACGAAATGGGTGGGAAAATCATAGGAAAATGTTTGGGCAATTAAGGTATGTGGGGGATAAATTGGAGATTGAAGGCTTTTCAAGATGTACATGAGGTAAGATGGTGTTGACAACGGAAAAAATAGTCACTCATGAGAAGTGAGACTTAATTTTAAAAAAATAAAAAGTAAAAGTACGAGTACAAAGCTAGAGCTAAGGGCTGGAACAGGTTTGCAAGTCGCTACTGGCCGTTCGAGAGTCATCCCAGCACTAATGATAGATAGGAACGGAATTCGGAATTTCTCTTTATCTTTATTTACCTTTTTATTGTGCCGGGATGTCTAAAAAACAGCACCACTTCTTATATTGGCATGCAAAGAATGTTTTGCATCCATTGTCGGTAGCCAGGCCAGCATAGTTGGCGAGTGCTCGTCTTACTCTACTTCTTTCTTGCCCCATCCAGCGTAGGACGTTTCGCAGCACATATTCACGCTGCAGTTTTCTCAATTTATCCTATTTAGGATAAAATCTTAACGCGTCAAGAGATTAAATTTAGTCCATCATGCAGGTGCAATGTTGATAATTGTCTAATTTTCACTATGCAACACGCATGAACGCAACATTTTTTAATTCAAGGGAGATTTACCACAAATTCCATGGTTGTCATGAAGAGCCGAATTATCAAACAGTTGATGTATGTGTCTAATTGTGAACTCTCTTGTATACCATCCTAAAACTAGTAGTCAAAAAATAAATAAACAACATTCCAAGGTGAACATTCCAGGTTGAAAACAGAAGCTTATCTTACAGATTTTTTCCACCTGGGAAAGCTTAATCTTTTCGTAAACTATGCATCGAAAACAAAGAGATCTAAGTTGGTTGCAATGATCATTAGTAATATTTTACATCTACGTTCTGGGCTATAACAATCTGTTGAGCTTGGGCTAGTATAATTCTACGGTAGCCACCCCCCGCTATTCTTTTTTTTTTTTTTTTTTTATATATTCACTATCGACTAAAATCCCAGATCCTACCCAAGTAACTATTATTGACGCATATTGTATTCATAGGTTTTCTATGTGCGACTTTAAATAAATAATAACCTCATCTGCCTTCTCTCTATATCCTTTTCCTTCTACACAATTACACAATTTTCCTTTGTTTTCGTTCTTATGGAAGTTCTCAGCTTCTTCTTCTTTCCAGATTTGGCGCTTATATTTGTCGATTCTACACCTTCCTGTATATTCTGCATCAGTGGTTGATTGGTCAAGACCGAAGTTTGCTGTGTGCTCACACTTCCCTTTCTGTTGTCGAAATAGTCTCCGTGCGTCGAAACAACAGACGTACTGTAAGAAGTGGACCTGGTCGCAGGATCACCTCCGAGCATACTAAAGTTATCACTCTGTGGTAAATTTTCATCGCTGTCTAATTTATTGTGTTCAAAAAGATGGTCTCTAGAGAGTCCAGTGTTATCTGTTCTATTTAATTTCAACTTTGGGTCCATACCAAATTGAATCATACTATTGGCCAAGTACATGTATAACTTAATCCATAATATTTCTAAATCTTGGTTAAATCTCTGACCAAATCTTTCATGGAAAGTCTGAATCAATGCTTCACCCATCAACTCGAACTGCGGGGCTTCTATGCATAAAATTCTAGCATGCCTTTTACCCAATTTAGTGAGGTAGTCATCAATATTGGAGATATTTTCCAATTGAGAAATTGCCAAAGACATCACCCCTGCGAATGCAACGGCCTGGTGCCTTACAGATGGAAACATTTTTTCCAATTTAGGCTCCATCTGTAATAAATTACCATACAATTGACGACAGAATAAAGATGATGCCATTGCAGTAGACGATGTTTGCTTGACAAAGTTGAGAGACTTTGACGCAGAATTGGCTGCTGCAGAATTTCCCGCGCCTGCAGCATGTTTCACATGTAAGTCGGTTTCTATTGGAAATTGGCCGGGCATCTGTGGGAGCACCGACTTCTTCGTAACTACAGGCTCTTCTAACAACAACTTGTTCCATGTATATCTGACCAATTCAATTTCCTTTTTACTGAAATTTAAGGTTACTTTGTAATGCAGTTGAACGGAAAACTGGGAATCAATGGAACTATTTGTGTCGACTCTTGTCAAAGCAAAATTTTCGGAATCATCTGGAGTTAAGAGGCCAAACTGATTGAATGAAGAATTTTTATGTGGGTTATTATTTGAATGCAGATTAGGATTAGGGTTGGTGATTGGCGGAGGTGGTAATTGTTTAGATGATCTTATAGGGTTTAGTGAAGAGAGCCTCGAATTTCTGGCTACTATGGAAGAGGTCAATGAAGAACTTGGCATATTGTTGAATGATGCATTACTAGAATACGACGAAAGTGTGGCCATCTTGTGTGTATGATGTGTGACTGTGTTTGTTAGGTCTCTCGAGGGATCTGGCTAAGTGACAAAATAAATCTTCAACTAAAAGAATAAAAGTTTTGAAAAAATCAGAACAGAAGTCAAAAATGATGATTGGTAAGGAAAATACGGATCTCTTTCCCAATTTATATTCACCCACATAGCCTTTCTAAGTATTATTGTTTCGAGGAGAATGGCTAGGCTAATCAGAATTGAATCAGACAATTAAGCATATCGTATAAAAAAAAAAAAAAAAAAAAAGCAAGAAAATAAAATAAAAAGGTAAAATAAATTAAGACAATTACCTGAAAAAAATAAGTTGGCCAACAATAGACGAGTTGATTATTCCTTATTGTCTGATGTAATATTTGACTCCATAAGGGGGGGGCAATTATAAGAGAAATGGTGTAGTATTACCATTGCGGGAAAAATGTGCAATATTTCGATTGTAGTTTGTAGTTTGTAGGAAGGGAGCATGGTGAATGTGAAATTTTAGCGCTGTAGCGAATAAATTTCTTAGTTTCGATAAATTGATGAGTTTCATTCTTTATGGCACCATTTTCTTCTGGTCCCTCATAGAACCTTGAATTGTAGTTTCTACGAAATAAAATACTCCTTTAATCATCCGATATTTTCTTTTTTAGCAGGCTAGTGCCGGGGGTTACATTTTGTAAATTTTTGTTGATTCTCAATGGACGCAATTAGGTTGACCTCAATAGTGCTTGAGAGAGTTGCATTAAAATATTTTAAGCCAAAGTTTAATTGCAGCGGAGATATTTCCTATTGCCGGCTAATGAGAGAAATTTACCACATTAACAGTCAGTGCCAATGTGAGAGAACAAAAATAATTCTGTACGGTATACCTGTATCATGATAAGGCGTATTTGCTAATTATTTTCTTGCAATTTTCAGAGGAGTATTTGATTTAATCTACTTACTAACCAATATGATCCGAAAAGAAAGGACAAAATTCCCAACGTAAGGATCTGAGGCGACATTGGGCGCACGTAAAGCTGGAGGCACCAGAAAATATAAAATTTTAATTAGTGGATCGACACCATCGAAAAAAAAAAAGTGGCCCGACACCACAGTACAACGGTAACGGTCTGTCCAAGGAGACGTTACCATAAGAAAAAAAAAACAGAATGCAAGATCAAATTAGTATGAACTTGGTCTATGTGATTAGACCTACTTGCATGCAAGTAGACACAAGCGTTAAATTCTCCGAAGTATTTAGTAGAGGCGGCTATGTTTCAACTGCCAATGTGAGCTTTTTATGGGAGCCTTCCTGGGGTATCACGTGCACCAGTGGGGGTGTGGACTCAACAAATTCATTATCTCGAGGTAGTAGCTAAATTAGGCACTGTCCTCTCAGTTCTAAAATAGGATTCACCTTGCATGTTGATGAACCGATGGGACAGTATCTTGAGAGAGACAATTCTCCACCCCTCGAGCTTCTCACATAGGAGTTTTTACATTTCCTCCGCAAGCACTAACAAGGATCATACCTGAAGTATAACGCGGACAACATACAGATCCTGTATGCAGCCACTGCAAGAAATAATCGAACGTACGTAATTCCCTTCAAAAAGAACGCACAGCGAAAGGGAAAAAATCAGTGCTAACAGAGAATGATGATTTCGAAGTATCACACAGAAAATAATTGAAGAAAGTGTGCATGGAGAGGTTTCTTGTAATTAATCTGCAATGCTTGTATAACTAACTACCAATCAATCGAAAGATTGCAAAAATAGGACACTTAACAACAACCACAAAGTTAATGTCATCACAATTTTGTGGTAGATCTTCTTCCTGCAAGACACACGCGGTATCATGCAAGGTTAATGAACATGAATGATTCATGGTTGGCACATAAGATTAATACACCTGAGGAATATGTTGTCAAGTAATGCAAATTATGCTCAGATACGAATTTGGTTGAATTAGGAAATAATAACTTCTAGCTCCAAATCGGGTTTATTACAACACAGGAACATAAAGGGATTGAGTATACTTTTATCGAATCGACATCAGAAAAAAAGAAAAAAAATGCAGCCAAGTGTATTCTTCTGTTTTGTATAATTTTCTCATAAATCAGGCTCTCAACCCAGGCAGCATAAGATTATGAACCTGTAAAAGAATATCCAGAAGTGAAAACAGGAAAGACGACATATTTTCCAGAGTAATAACTCGCAGCTGGCGGCATGCTGCTGTAAAAAGCATCTTGCCCACGTGAACTTGATCTAAATGTGCCTACGTAAGTTGACATTCAAGAAATAGTCATGTGATGGAAATCGATCTCGTGAAAAAGCACGTGTATAGAGTCATTAGGAATTTTTTTTTCATAATGGAGACACGTGATACAACACGTGCACTTCAGGTCGGTAGTTACATGTGAAAAAGCCGGCTCCTTGATAGGAAGCTAACCTTCCCCTCCGGAACACTCTGCTCTGGAAGACCAGCACTTGATGCTAGATTTGAGGTTAGAGTCTAAGAGCAGAGAAATATTTTCATGGGTGAAGGTTATATTCCAGTACTGCTATAAGTTCAGAATTTTATTTCCACAAGGTCTCGTACTATACACGGGTTATTGTATAATCTACCTCGTAAGACTCGTAAAGCGATGTTGCTTTGTTATACTCTCCAAGAAATATGAAAGCTTATAAGTTATGCTATACCCAATACCTCATTCGGAAATGACGTACTACGTGATAATTCCGGAATTTAGACTTTAATTGTGAAGGCTAATTTTTACTTTATTTTCTGTGTTTCTTATCCCATTTTTTCGTGGATCGTTTAAAGTATAAAGTCTCTTAACTAAGGTAGAGAAATAAACCTATGCGGCGCAGGAATACCTCGGGTCTTGTAAATCGTGGTGAGGTCAAAAGAAACTACAGGAAGATCAGAAAAGCTTTTTCATGGTTCTATATTGATAGGCACACTGAATAATTTGTTCGATGCTGTGGATATCACTGTAACCATTGCAAGAAAGAGAAGTCATGCAATTTTCAATATTCTTTCTCTCCCAGCATGTGTTTCGGACAATAGTCGGATTATTTTGCTTGAACTTTAATATTATTTTTAAGTTAGTATTTATATTATTAAACTTTAGCTATACTATTATCTTTGTCTTTGTCCATCCTCTTTGTCCCGGGATAACCGTGTTACTATGAGTGTGCCACGGAGCCAATTTGGGTGCACCACCGGAGGCGTGCCACAGTTCTAAACCGAAAGGGTACACTGCAACTGATTATTTTTTGATGTTGCTGTAGGAGCAGCCACGCACGTAGCGGATTTCCTTATCTACTAGGGTATTAGTTTAAGCGCATCTCACATATACCATATGCTAAAAAGAAACCCTGAGAGTACAAGAAAATGGCACGCTACATTTGAATTCTTTTTTATTCCACGATCATGTCTATGAGAAAATATAGAACCATACATCTAAATTAGAACCTGCCTAAGTAAAGTTAGCTCACACTGATCCACATCCATTAAATAATTTTGAATTTTTTTCTTTTCTTTGAATGTCCCATTTTCTCTTTATCACTAGTAAATCTCTATTAATCCATTTTTCTTTATCTGTTAATCAATCGTATTCTATCGGCTGTTTCATTTCCTCATCAAATTCTATACATCGAGTAATAAATATCACAAAAGTCTATTATCTCGATTGTTCTTGCATCGTCTACGCTGCATATCTGGCCCATTTACTCGTCAAAATGGTTGCAAACCATATGCTCTAGTTCGTAAACAAATGAGAATCTTGTGCTGGAATTTCGGCGTAATAGCTTTGTAAGGCTCTCTTGAGAGCAGGTACCAATTTGTCCCATCTCAAGATTCTCACTTCCTTATCGAATCCTCTTGGCTTCCTGATGTCATAAGCCATAATTCTCTTAGCCAATTCAGCTCTAAAGTCTGGAGATGCATTGTTCTCATTCATTCTAGACAGTATAGGCTTCTTGGACCAGAATGGTACCAAGTTAGATCTAACTCTACCCCGTTCTTTTCTTCTATCAGCTGGGTCCTTTAGTTGCGTTCCAATTAATAACTCTACAATTTCCACAACTTCCACTGATGTGATATAATAGTAATATCTGTTCCCGAAGCTATCATCCGTAGTAGAATTATGGCGAAGCGTGCTTCTGTCGTAATTTGAATAACCATACGATGAAGATCCACCATAGCCTTGTGGGCTTTCCCCTCCGCTCTCTTGAGACTCTTCGTCTTCTTGCAGGACAGCACATTCCAAGCAACTTACTTCAACAACGTCAGTCTCTGGACCTGCTGGTAATGCAGTTGGATGTTCACTAGCTGCTCCAACAATAGAAAACTTGGCAACCAAACGAGGACCCTCTTGGGTTCTCTCAATTCGAATTATTCTTCTCCTATCGGTCTTTTCTTCATTCGACCACTTAGGAAAGCAGCAATCATCTAAAGATGCAGATACCAAGTCCAATTGCACTGGGGTATAGAAATGTTCAGAAGAGATTCCATTCTTTGGGGGTCTTGTGGCACAGCCACCAGCTGAAACTCCCCTGATAACCCTATACCTTCTTTTACCACCAGGGTAATGGAGGTCTTCTTCATCAACCAGTCTAATGGAACCCTTTCTGCTTTCTTCCGGCTTAATGTAGTCATTCTTTGCATATGTAGAGGTGAGTTTGTTACTACTATAATAATCAACACCAAGTGGTTGCAGAACATTGGGTAACTGGTTATATGACATCATGTAAGGTGACTGGCGCTGTTGGAGTTGTGGCTGTTGATGTGGTTGGTGTTGGTGGTATACTAAGGGGGATTGTTGTTGTGGTAACAATGGTGTGTACGATTGCACAGATGTGCCAGTGGAAGACGGAGTGGCCTGAGCGGTCTCTGTGGTGTTGAACATACTACTGTTATTGAAGTTGAACACATCTTGATGGCCCGGTGGGGGAGGTGGTGCTCCGACTGACTGCACATATTGGGGCTGCAGCTGCAGCGGCTGAAGCGGATTACTGTTTGTAGCCAATAAATGAGAAAATTGAGTTTGTTGTTGAGCATGTGGTCGTTGTTGATACTGTGGGTGGTATTGATCGTATAGTTCTTGAATGTTGTCAAACTTCTGTTGGGGCACTTCATCATCAAGTGCTGAACCCATGTTAGACCCTACAGGTACATTACTAAGAGCGATTCCGCCCAACATCTGTTGTTGGTGATCGGTAGGTGACGGTTCAAACATGTCGAAGTAGCTGTTGTACGTGACTGGGTTAGCGAAATACATCTATAGTGTAAGAAACTTCTATGTCTAAAGGTTTGTAAGCTAAACAAGCAAGCAAGATATGGGAGAGAATTTACTTGGGCTCCACAGAATGGATTTTTTTTATTCGAAGATTTAAAAATTAATCAGATGATTGAATAATTGAATAACTAAATATAGTGATTAACAAAACTGCTTACAACGGTAATTTGTACAATTTACAGGAGGGATGGTTTTATCTTTATACTTATGGGCACTTCTATTGACCTTCTCTTTCCTTTTTTTTTTTGTATTTTTTTTTTTTTTTTGATTGCATATTTGCTATGCATTTGCATCTTTTTTTTTTTTTTTTTATTTATGTCATTTTCAACCGACCATGGATTTAATTGCGCAAATAGAGTTTGGGTTTTGTGTGGTTTGGGGTGCATTTCATGCACAGTGCTTGCATGAACTTTGAATTCTATACCCGCGGTCCGCGATGGGATGTAAGGGAGAACAATCAAAGCCACTACACAACGTGCGGTGTGTACTGCAAAGAACAATAAAAACTAATGGTCGTTGTCAGAAGTACCATGGTATATTAAATCGATGAAAAGTGAAACACATTGACTGTCTCTAGAAATACATACGTAAGGAAAATAATAATTCCGCATGTATGCTGGGGTAAGTCATTTTACCCTTGTTAAGAAAGGAATTACTAACTTCCGACGGCACACCTTTTGTAGAATCTGAATTTTCCAGAATCTCCTTCTTTTTTTGGTGTGTGGGCTGGGTTTGCTACTTGCATCAGCTAAAGATTTAGTATATGCAAGTCTTTTTGGCAATCCGCGGGGGGACCGCGGACAGTGTTGACGAGTGGGACAACTTCGAGAATCGCATTTGGTAAGTGAAGGCACATAATATCTGAACAGACAGGTTCTAGTATGCACTTACTTGAAATAGAATCAACCACAAGTCACTCATAGTCATCCATTGGTGTCTGTGTGTGGCAATGTACCCTCTTTTTCGTTTAAGCTAACGCTAATGATTAGGCTGTCGAACCCCCGTATATTTTTTCTTTTTCCCTTTACGCACTCCTAAAATATAAAAATAGAAAACTCCACCTTAATTTAGAGTACCATTGGATAAAAGAGTTGCGTTATTTTTGCTTAGAATTTTTCTCAATTAAGCGGTGTACGGATGTATCAATTTAATACAGAAATATTTTTATGCACGTCGTGTTTATTACATGCAACAAGGAATTGATTTTAGCAGAAATGTAAGGAGTACAGTTGACAATCAGTGAAGAGGTTGATTGGCCAATCGTCTCCCTTTCCCCCCCTTTCACCATAAGTCTGACGCCAGTTTTGTGTAAAGTGCATCATCGAATATTGACTTCAACGAGATTATTACTATCAATTTTATCTGGTCCTGCAATTAGTATAAAATTACTTTTAGCTTTCTATGCTTGCTTTTCTTTAAGGTTAACAATAAAGTTTACCATTCATTTGGAATTATAATCCCTCTATATGCTGATTGTAATATTTACATTGTGTTGCATGTTAAATTCCAATGCCCACATTAAAAATAGTTACTGTGCATCGAAAAGAAACTGAGCTGCATAAACAATATTCCGACTGAACTTGTCTGACTTACAGTTTTTAGAAGAAGGATAATATTTTTATGTGCAAGTGAGCATGCACCAATTGTAGGCGCTTTCTAGAATAAAGTTTGAGACCGATGATTTTTACATATTAAAAGTTTTTTTTTTTTTTTTTACTTTCTTTGCATTAGTTTTTGATCATTGTGAAAACCAACGACTTCAATCAATTGCTCCAAGAATAGAAAAATGGCTACTCTCATCGTCCTACTAATCAGCTAAATATATGAAATCGAAATTGGTTACTGTACAATATCGTTTAGCTGGAGGGTAGAAATGCAGCGTAGAGCCCCTTGTAGAATTCAACCTGACTGAGAGTTAATGCCTAGAAAAGAAGTGGCTTAGTGTTGTAGCAAACCCTTTACTTAAAATAACCATACTTCGATAATCGTTAATTTTTTAAACTCTACCATGTGCAATCCAGCCCGTCTATAGATAAAGCTTACCTGATATCTTCTTTGTTAGCAAAGCTTGTTAAGATTACAGGCAATGAGTTTAACCGAAATAAAAAATAAGCCAATTTGGAAAATGCGCATAAACAACCTGCAGCGCGGTTATCGTTCTGCATGGCCAATTTATGCCACATCCACATCGCATGCAAAAGCCTTTTGCTCCACCATTATTTCTTTATTCACATAGTTATCCGACGAGCATTAATTGACCAACAAATCAAAGTAACATAGAAGTATGGCTAGCTTACAAAATTAATAATTTTATGTTTGAGAGACTAAATGATGTAAAATTTCAGGAATATTTAAACATCATTCTTTGAATGTTTAATTCTAAAAAAAAAACAGTTTACGTACAGCAACGTACCACGAACCAAAGATGAAGGAGGCTCAAATGTGGGTAAAAGTACGCAATGTCCTAATGTGGAACAAATGAGCGCATCCTTGATTACAGCTTTGCTAATAAAAATAAACAATTCTTCGATGAAATTAGTGCTTGCGCCCTCTTGCTTTTGGCAGGGACCTCCGGGTGCAAAAAGCTTCTTGTTGTGGTTGCAATAAAAGTCTCAACGTCATCGCTCGACAATTGATTTTTTTTTTTTTTTTTTTATTTTTTACTTATTTTTAAGTATATACATGATATACGTGATTTAACTATTCCAACATTGCGCCAATATGAATTTCACATCGGACTCCTAGTACATATACCGATTACACTTAAAAGAAAAGAATAGGAAGGTCATGGATATGCATACAGCCATCATTGCTCGGTTCCGTAAAAGATCCTCTTCGCAGATATGGAATTCAGTACGATGGAACCTTAAAGTTTGATGAATAATCTCCAGGGCGCTCCGCGGTAGACATAGGTGAAGAATTTCACTGCCTTACTAATGCTTGCCTGCGTACCGCAAGCGCAAGGCATGAAGGAAGTTCCGGTTTGTACTGATCAAGACGCCAAAACGGCTTTAGGGATTGCTTCTCCGTTTGTTGCAGCACTCGGTAGCCTAATTTGGGTGTTTTTTTTACAGTGCTTACAAATGCTCAACGGAGAAGAGGAAATGGTTCATAAATGCAAAAGTCTATTGTTAAATTTAGTTAAATAGCATACAGAAGGGTTTACTTCATGTTTCACTTCTATCTTTAATTCTAGCCCCAGATAATGATTAGTGATCTAGATCAGTCAGAAATGAAGCACGATTAGATCAACGTCATTTCAAATTCAAATGACAGCCCGAAAAGAAACGTACGATTTGGGCTGCAAAGCAAATGAAACTGGTATACTTTAAATGTCATCAGATAACTAAAAACTCGACGAAACAACAACCAGTATGAAATTTAACCGGGCGCAAATATGAACCACAATTTTAATAAAATTGGGGCTTGAGAAAGAAATTACAGACGTTCGACAGTGGCACAGTCAAATCAGTTCTTTCGCAAGATATTTCCTCTCATTTCTTCCAATGATAAATTTACTATTTCATCTTTTGAAGTTTAAAATCCTTCAAATACTTGAAGCACAAGAATGTGGCTATTTAGCAATTGGGAAAGAATAATCATGGCATCCAGGTGTTATACCATTCTTCTTCTTGAATACTCCACATAATTGAGAAGTAATCTGACAAGTGATCTTATCAAAGATCTGCTACACAGGGTGTAGCAGCAAAACCATATGCACGTTCTTCAGACTTTGTGCTATGGAATGATTTCGGTGCGTATGCCCCACATAAGCGTACATGCACATAGTGTGTACATGCAAGCAATGTGCCCCACTCCTTGCCTACCAGAAGTAAGGGGTAGATGATGGAATGTCTGTGTAAAATAGAGCGCGGTAGCGTTCGAAGGGTATAGTGAGCGTGGAGAGGGATAGGTAGTGAGTAACAGAGCAGAAAAAGAGCGAGTGAGTGAGATAGTGAGAGCGAGAAAGAGAGAGATAGATTCTCGCCCTTTCGCAGTCATTTTAACAAACGGCTCTTGCACCGAAAAACACATTACAGGGGAGGGACGCGTACCCTTTCTAATACAAACTTTCTGTTTTATTATGAATTATTTACAATTTCTTGCTCTTTTTGTCATACTGTGGATAGTACTTTCCAAATAAGTAAACGTCCAAACCAATTAAACCGGTTATAACTGCACCGTGGATAGCTAACACGACATTACTGTCAGTTCTAATTCTATGTCTTTCCAAATACCCAATGTATCCTGCAACGATACCACTGATACCTGCTACTGCTTGGATAACAACAACAGGGTTTTCTAATTCAGTAGATGATTTCGCAACAATCTTGGAAGTGTTGTCTCCCAAATTTGAGAAAAATTCGCTTGTATATGCGCTAGCCTCTTGATACTTTTTACTCAAAAGGGCAACCAAGTCACTGTATTCATCCTTAGCCTTCTTTTCAAAGTTTTTAATATCCTTCTTAGCCTTCTTTTCAAAAGCTTTGGCATCCTTTTCGAACTTGCCAGCATCTGATTCAGCGGCTTTCTTCAATTCATCGAATTTGTCTTCAGCAACGACTTCGATGTTTCCGGAGACAGGGCTGGACTTGACAGTGGTTGGTTCAGGGATCTTTTCGGCTCCAATTGGACCAGATGATGCAGCAGCGTCAGCGTAAGACATGATTTAATTTCGATATAATATTTCGTAACTGGTATAGAATAGTAATAATAACTCTATTCGAATAGATAAATGTAAAATAAAAGTGTTAGTTTTGTTTTCTTTCTTAAAAAACTCAATTCAACCAAACGTCTATGGTAATTTTTTTTTGTCTCAAGGGGGCCATTGATTTAATTTGGGGGGCAGGAGGGTGACGATTGCTATCTATATAGAAATAAGGTGAAGGTTGCTTTCCTGCAGGTGGCCACAGAAAAGAGACCATTTTGTCCCAATGGTGCGGCCTGCGACAAAAAATATTTATGGGGCGATAGTCAATAGAAGGGCAACAGTGAACATCGGGTAGAAGAAACGAAGTAGAGTCATTGCCAATGGTCAAGAAGGTGCAAATGTGAACTTTGTGCAGTGAACATATTGGAACCAAGAGTGATGGTTCCGAAGTGGCAAGAGGGCAAGAGTCTTCAGCCTGTCGCCATCGCCATCGCCATCACTGTTCCGCGCAGCTTATCTTGTTGCTGTTGCATGAGAAAATGATGCAACATCTTTGAAAATGACCATGGATCCGTCCACGGGCTTGTCTTGCAAGAACTTCCCAGGGAAGTGCATAGTTTCACTGAGTCGCAGCCATGTATTCCCAGGTCCTCAATTGCTAGATATCGCTACCTGACAGTGTAGAATTCAAATTATTCATAGACCTGCTGCTCTCTGGCCTCGTAAATTATGTAGGTGTGCTGAGAGACTGCACATGGTCCACGATATTAACTTAAAGTATGGGGATTCTAGACTTGGACAGAGCGGGAAGAATGTAGTAGCAGAAGAGCCAAACTGCTTCTTGGGCAGATACGTACACGGACAGGAAGCGCGCATTCCCAATGAGAAGGAACAACTATGGGTCAAACGGGTCTCCTGCTCATCTTCTCCTACCTGGCAATCCACTCATACCCCAAACGGGCCAGTACCGTACTTGAGACGCATCGATCTCGACTCTCGGTACTGCATATATCCCCTCTTCTTCTAGCTCTCCCGCCCAGCTTGCTTGCACACTGTCCTGTCCAACCTACAACTGGACCATGGCAAAGGACGCAGATGTCACCTCACATCACACCATAAGACTCCTTCCTTCGTAGCTCTTAGCACTCGAAAATTTGCTCTACCATATTCCGACGTCTCTCCTTCCTTTCCTACGTACCACGCCCATCCCCCATCTCTCATCTCCTCTCACTCTAATTCACCCCTCCTAGGGCTCAGCCCTACTACTTTACACGTGCCTCACATCCTCATTTTTTTTTTTTTTTTTCCAAAAAAAATTTCACCTCATTAAAAATTTCAAAACTCACCAGGCCACTCCTAGGCACCACCTCTCCTCTTCCTTCTTCAGTTTATTTCTCCAGTCGATCGAAAACCACTACCCCCCGGCTTTCCACGTAACATTCCGACAGTTTAAATAAATTAATAACAAGACAATGTCTGCTCCAGCTGCTCAACAACAAGGTGACGCCCCAAAGAGAAGATTTGGTGGTAACAAAGGTGGTCAAAGAAGAGGTGGAAGAAGAGATGAAGAAAAGGGATGGACTCCAGTTACCAAATTAGGTAGATTAGTGAAGGCCGGTAAGATCTCTTCCATGGAGGAAATCTACTTGCACTCTTTACCAGTCAAGGAATACCAAATCATTGACCAATTATTACCAGAATTGAAGGATGAAGTCATGAAGATCAGATCTGTCCAAAAGCAAACCAGAGCCGGTCAAAGAACCAGAATGAAGGCTGTTGTCGTCATTGGTGACTCTAACGGTCACGTTGGTTTAGGTATCAAGACCGCCAAGGAAGTTGCTTCTGCCATCAGAGCTGCTATCATCATTGCCAAGTTATCCATCATCCCAATCAGAAGAGGTTACTGGGGTTCCAACTTGGGTAACCCTCACTCTTTACCAACCAAGGTTACTGGTAAGTGTGGTTCCGTTGCCGTTAGATTGATCCCAGCTCCAAGAGGTAAGGGTATTGTCGCTTCCCCAGCTGTCAAGAAGTTGATGCAATTAGCTGGTGTTGAAGATGTTTACACCACCTCCTCCGGTTCTACCAGAACCACCGAAAACACCTTAAAGGCTGCTTTCATTGCTATTGGTAACACCTACGCTTTCTTAACTCCAAACTTATGGAAGGAAAACACCTTGAACGCTTCTCCATTGGAAATTTACGCTGAAGAAGCTTCTGCTACCAAGAGAAGATACTAAGTGTATAGCACATTAATGTACATCTAGCTAGAGCATATGTCTAAATCGTTGTAGTATTCGTAGAGTTGTGGGTAGAGCTAAGGCGAGAGTGAACACCAGCACCAAGCAAAGCTGGCGTGTGGCTGAATGCTTCATATAGCTAACTTAAACCATAAATTTACATGGTTGTCTTGTTCAATCAGTAAATGCAGGGCATGCTTCGATTTGTTCAAGCCCTTTAGTCGTATTGTATACTATGAATCTATATATAAGCCTATTACTATACATGTTATATTACAAAACAGAGGTTGCGACGGTCCTCTGTGTGGAAATAGGGTGGTGGAACTATATATCACCTGTGGTCACGGTCTGGCACAAGTCATGCATGCTAGTAGTTTAAAAGAGGCACAGATTGGTGCCATACTTCCTCTCTCTCAGCTTCACCTGATACCTGCTCCAAACCCGAGTTTTTACTGCAATATTGCTTCCTCCTCACCATCATCCTCTTCTGCCACCTCTTCTATTATCTTATCTTTTCTTTTCTTGTTTCTTTTCATTTGTTTTCTTTTTTATTTATCTTTTTTTTTTTATTTAATCTGTAAATATATATAACACAGCAAGTTTGCAGAAGCTATAACACAGCAAACTCGCAAAAAGCACAACTCCAGCAATTACAAGTCTACTACTTAATTCTGGATAGCTTGTTCCATAACCTGGTCGTCGGGAACAGCAAATTGCCTTTCCTGGGTAACCGAAGGTTGCTCGCCTCCGTCCTTCGTCCAGGTATTAGATGAAGTGATAGATCTGCCTTCTGGATGTCTAAACATACAGGTCTTGTTAGTACAGTTGGCACCAAAACGACAGTCTTCATCTATTGGATGTGAAAAGAAACAGTCCAATCTCTTGCAATTAGCACCTTCACGACACACCACAGGAGTAGACGCATGTCTCTTGGGACACTTGTAATTTGTACAAGCAGCACCAAATTTACATTGCTCCAACGTAGGAATTGGAGCGGCAGGTGGAACACCGCCAGCATTCAAGGCCGCTGCTCCTGGTCCTGTTGCTGAGCCAGCATGTGCACCATTTTGTGACTGGTAGTTTGGGGATGGATGTGCCTTGACACAGCTGCCATCAGCACAGGCCTTTCCGTTTGAACACCACTCTAACTGTCCAACAACGGCATTTTGATTGGCTGGAGTTGGGTGTCCAAATGGACAACTCTCCTTTGCACAGTGATGACCAAACTTACATAAAGTGATAGGAGGCACCCATTGCTGTTGTTGTTGTTGGAATTGCTGTTGTCTCTCTAACTTCTTCTTCTCAACGTATTCCTTCTTGGATTGCTCTAATTTGGCCATCAACTCTTGGTCCTGGTCTGGATGTAAATAGTTACAGGTACCTGGTGGATTAGGACAGTTCGGATACGAGAAGCAAACCTTAGTAGGATGTGCCAAGGGGCACTCCTTGTTTGTACAGTAAGGGAAATCTGGACATCTGCCCTTCGGTTGCCTCTGGTTGAAAGTTGTCTTAGTCACATTGGTATTGTTGTTCATGCCCAATACCTTTTCGAAGTTAGCTGGATTTTGGAGAGCAAACGACTTCTTGCCACCGCCGATATTCTTACCTCCTTTATTGATTCCTCCTCTGTTCACACCGTTTCTTGGTCCACTTGGTGGAGCCTTATTAGGAAATGCCAACATTGGGTGGAACGAAGCATGGGGACTAGGGGGCTTATCGGTTTGTTGCTGAAAGGAACCCGCTTTTTGTTCTTGTGGTGGCTGCTGGTGCTGCTGTGCCTGAGGCTGTTGTGCCTGAGGTTGTTGTACCTGGGGTTGCTGTGCCTGGGGTTGCTGTGCCTGGGGCTGTTGTTCCTGGGGCACTTGCTGTTGAGGTGCCTGTTGTTGTTGGGTAGGTTGCTCTTGCTGAGGTTGTTCCTGTTGCATCATTCTTCCAATTTCTTGGAATATACTATTCACAAATTCTTCATCTATAGGAAAATCAATAAGCAACCTTACTTCGCTGACAATATCAGCAGCCGTACGGTTATTACCAATCAAAACTAAGATGAACTCTGCGACGTCTTCTGCATCATCTGTAATATTGTACTTCCCTTGAAGTTCGGATATTAAAGGCGCTTTCAACTGCTGCGCTAAAGGTCCTTCGGGATCGAATGAAGACATTATATAAATATGAGGCTGATGCTGTTATCAGTAGGTAGACTAGATGATTTGTAAGTTTGCCCTTCTGTTGGTTGGAGTGCCTTTGTATTTTTCGTTTTTTTTTTTTTTGATAGAGTTCAAAAGTCATGTGATCGTTGAACGTGACCAGGAATTGGTTGCATAGAGTCATGGTAACCTGTCTACCTAAGCAAGAAACAATGGCATCAGCTACGGCAACGACTTCATTAATTAGGGGCCTCTTAAACTAGCCCTCAGGGTGCATTAACGTCATTAAAATATTTAAACTAATCTAAAATCAAACTAATTCGAAAATCTCCTCATCAATTTCTCCTATTAAATCTCTGACTAATTCCAATATCCTGTCCAATTCCAAAGAAATCTTGTTGGTGACTAAGATATATGAGTATAGTAAGACATAATCTTCGTTTGTTAACGTCAAGTCCTTCTTAAGCGCTCCGTTACTTCTAATCTCGCTTAATTTGAATAGCATTCTATCCTTTGCGTGTTCTGTGGACGCTGGTTTATTCGGGAGTGGGAATGACAACCTGAGAGCACTTGCAAGCATATAAAATATCAAAAATATCCTATGTTCAACTTCAGTTCTTTCAGCACTGATATACTTTAACACATATTCTTCATTAGTTGATAAGCTCGGATCAACTTCGATCATAAGGTTCATATTTTGAAACGAGTCAATGATATTGGAAGTGCATTGTAGAATCTTTTCGTATTTCACCTTAGGAAACTCACCCTTCAATCTAAACTCTTTAGGGGCCTGCTTTAGTAGTGTTTCACATTCACGTAGCAAATCATGTAAACCCTTTTGATCTTTTAAGCCTATGAGCTTCAGTTCTCCATCTACAGTAAAATCCAAGGGGTCACTATTCCAAATTACTCCCATTCTCAACCAGAGGATAGTCAATCCTTTCTTTAATCTTGATCTAGCACTATTGGGCAAAAATAATGAAGACATAGACACAGAAACCATGATACCTACCGAAACTGCAAAGAATCTATGAAATGCAATCTCTCCAATGATAGGATCCTCACCACCTTCCAATCCATCTTCTGCGTCCTTTTGCGTCATACTGTATGAGTATAAGGCTGTAATGTTGTATGCTAATAAAATAAACCTTCCAAATGGATTATTCTGTTTCCAATACATGATAATATAAAAACTTGGAATAGAAAGTAGAAATCCACAAATACATAAACAGTAGACATTCCCATTTGTCAAAACCCAGATCAAATACGCTCCATAGCATCCCAAAAATGTCCCAATAAATCTATATTTAATTGTCATTGAAGTACCTCCAACAGATTTGTTCATCATGATACAATACACCACTAGAGCCCATTCTATTCTCCATTCATTGAAATAAATCTTAGTTTGAGGAATAAATGCAAAAATAGATATTATTAGCGCTCCTAAACCAACTCTAATGCCGAACTGAACGTCTGTTCTTTTAAATACTTTTAATGACTTCCAGAGATTGAAGGATAAAATAGATAGCCTGGAATGTATTTCGCGCCTCTTCTTCAAAATTGATCTACTATGAGTGCCATTTTCGTCGCCATTTCTATATTGGTTTTGAAAAGCCAATAGGGCAGCATTTAAGGTACTCTCGACACGAGTATTGAAAAGTGGAAAACTCACTCTTCTTTCTGTACCATTTTCTTGTGGGGGATCCTGAAATCCTGTGGATCCTATTGCATCCTCACCTAAATCATTAGAATCTATACCTTGACTGTATTGGTCCTTTTTTCCTTGATCACTGGGACTTTGGTGCCATAAACTATTATACAAATAATTCCATGACCTCCTACATTGAGTTGTTTCTTCGTATCTCTCAGTTAATTTTAGAAATCCATTCAAAGTCCTGGCAAATTCTCCTAGCAAAGAAGAGAAATTACCACAACATGCTGTAACTTCCTCTTGGTCTGTATTAAAAAGGAATTGGTTGGAATCTTTTTTATGGAAAATCTCCTGAGAGTACAATCTTTCAAATGACTCAGATTGCTTTTCCTTGTACAATTCCAATGCACTATCGATAGATCTTTGAAATGTAGCTGTAGTTGCAAATTTGCCACTACATTGATTTTCAAATGGTATTTCGCTCAAGATGTTTTTGATTGTGAAGATAAATGATTTCATCGATGGCGCAAGATAATAAACAAATAAGTCGAAGATTTGACCTGGATTACTGGCCGTATAGTTTGGTACATCACTGGTATTTGTGCCTGAGAGAATTTTGGACATATTCTCGATAGATTGCGATAAGTGGATTCTAGAATCTATACTTTCATCACTACTGACACTATCTGCGTCATTATTGTTATTATTATTGTTCTCGGCACCGTCATTCTCGTGTAAAAGCTCCCACTGCATTTCAACTGACGATCTTAGTGCTTGAACATGTCTGGCCAATGCTTTTGTCAGTGAAACCAATTTCACAAACAACTTCCACTCTTCTTCCCTTCCTCGTAACAAGAGCTCATATTGAGCTTCTTCAAGCAGCGAATTCAAAGAGGTTATATTCTTATTGAGTCTATTAAAGAACTCGATATCTTTTGCAGTAATATTTTCACCGTTGAGAAATCTATTAGCAGTAATCGAAAGTAATCCGGACATGATGTTATAAGAGTCATTTAATCCCTTTCGTAATTGTTCCACAGCACTTACGGGCCAAATGAGATAACAGCAAAGTACAGATATACTACATCCGGTTACGACAACAATGATGGTACCAATGAATCTATCAACAGGAATTTCTGAGGCGTTCGTACTCCCTTCCTTGATAATACATGCAACAATGGAAATGGAAGCTAACGAGCATGCAGTATTAAAGGTCTGCTTGTTGATTTTTTGCTTCATATACGCTATGCAGCCCAAGGATAAAGATGCAACTATCAAGTCAATCGCATAACAGATTTCATCTTCTCCATGGTTGAAGAAACTTCTCAGTATAAGTCTACAGAAAAATGTCATACTAAAACTGAATAGCAACGAACATATTACAAACAATAACGATTGGTGCATAGAGCCCTTTGAACGGGATGGATGGAAATATACGGCCACCGTCGCTACAACATGCTTGGAATCAGTTCTTCCCAAAAGATCGTCAAATCTCAGCCAATAAACACCCAACGAGGCCAAAAAATATGCAATTGAGCACTTCAATACACTTTTATATACCTCATTTGCATAAACAGCCTCCAATTTCCTCTTAGACCTTCTGTAAATCTTTTTGAATTTCCATCTTGAAGTTTCTGGAGAGCCTTCCAAGGTGACATTTGACAGCGATGGGGCCAATGCATTACCATTACCATTGCCATTATTGCTTCCTGGTAATAATGAAGAGCTTTCGCTAGGATTGTCCTCAATACCTCTAGAGTTAAAGCTCTCAAATCCTATACTAAATGAAGAAACTGACCTTTGAACCCTCTCACCTGTCTTCGGCATAATAACCGATGCTTGCCCAGTAAGCTTTCGAACTCTCGAACCAAGCGCCAGAAAGTTTAAAGAAATCTCATTATCTTCGTCATCCACAGGGGAGGAGTTCCGGTTTTCAGTCAGACCGTAACCTGACATTTACCGAATGAAGGACGATATGACTTTCAAGCAATAAGAGAGGCCCTTGCTTTCTAGCAAATGCCCTGCCTGCTTCTACCGCAAGCAACGCCATTCTCTTATCGTACTGGTCACGTTTATGATCACGTGACTAGTTTCTTTTCTTATAGGCTCAGAAGTTGCTACATGAAGATTGCTAGTGAGTCCTACACGTTCCGATGACTGGCTGTTTATGTACATCATTAAATCTATAAATTATTATAAGTATAATACACTTATCTCATGCTCCATTTGGGAGAGGTTTTCGTTTAGTTTTTTCAACCACAGGTCCTTTCTCTTCATATTAAGGACTTGTTTTTTCACATCTTTTCATTTTCATGTTCAAATTTTCGTTTCTTTTTTAAAATATTTCTTCAGCATATCATCATCATTCAGTTGATACCATCACAACATTCAAAGTTAGGCATATATCTATCGTTTATCATTACTACTTCCTCAAAAAATAGTATTTTTTTGTTCTTTTCTTATTTTTTGTCTTCGTACCCAATGATTTCTCTGAATAAATCTTCACAAGGAACTGTTGCTCCAAGTCTAGCACACAATAAAAATACTCCACTGAGCTTTCTATGTAACGAGTAGGTTTCTTCTGGAGGTGGGGTTAATCTTTCATTAAGCATCACTCCAACATTTCCCCTAACTCTATCAGTAATGGTTTGATCCTTGAAGTTGAATGGCAGACCACCATTATCGATTGGTGAGAAGGCTTCTCCTAGCACCATGACCGAGTCAATATGTGCTTGAGTCATTGCTGGAGACTCTAAACCTGTTAAATAACCCAATTTCTTGGAATAGTATTCCACTCCGTCCCTGTCCTTCTTGACTGAAGATCTTAAAACGTTAATATAGTCATCAATAAAGCCATCGCCGAAATCTCTAGCAGCACCGAAATCCAATAGTTCGATTTTACCTACTTTGGGGTTGTAAAGGAAGTTGGCCCAGTTAGGGTCCGTTTGCATGAATTTGTAAGTCTTGATTTCCATAAGACAGAGTTTCATGATTTGAGTAGCAATCCAATTGTTGGTCTGTTGGTCCCAATCGCCCTTCACGATTTCGGTACCATTCATTCTTTCCATGGTAAGTACATGTTCTCCACACATGTGGTTGTACACTTTAGGAACGCTGAAGGCCGAGTCATGTTCAATCATATCTCTAAATCTGATCAAATTTTGAGATTCTCTAATATAGTCACACTCCCATTTCAATTCAGTTCTTGCATTGGCAATGGTCTTGTCGAGGAACAAACCAGCTGGCAAAATGGAAGACGCAGTAAGGAGCATCAACAAGTTGTTTAAATCTGAGTCAATACTGTCTACTACACCAGGGTATTGTACCTTGACTACCACTGGAGTCATTTCTCCATTATCAGCTTCGATCACCGCATTGTGAACCTGTCCAATAGAGGCAGCTGCGATGGGCACATCATCAAAGGATACAAACAATCTTTCCCTCCAGTTTTTACCTAAATCCTTCAGCATTACTCTCTCCAATTGACCAGGTGGCATGTAATGAGCAGAGTTTTGTACTCTAAGCAAGATTTGTTGAATTTCTTGGGGCAAAATGGATGAATCCTGGAAGGACATCATTTGGCCGATTTTCAAGGCAGCCCCTCTCATTTTGGAGAACTTCTTGGCCATTCTTTCAATATTAGCAGGTGATAAGAGCAAGGACTTGACTGATAACGACGACGAGGAGCCGCCCGACGCATAGTGCTTTAAACCCTGCTGAGCAGCTCCAAGTCCCATACCGGCAGCCAAGCTTCCATAGTGGAAAATCCTAGCAAGACGGGTGGATGGGACTTCAGAAGAAGTCATTTCAAATTCGGGTGCATCCTTGACTCCGATTACTTTTGATCCTGGCTTGTTTTTTTGAGAAACAATCACTGGAGCCATTCTGACCACTGAGCCTGGCCCGTTGCCTGAGCTAGCAGGCTTCTTGTCAAGCTCCTCTATGGGGAAGGACTTGGTGGAATAAAACCTTTTAGTTTTTGCTCCTGTTGATGATGTATGGAGTGAACGCACCGACTGTAAGTTTCCAGGCGATCTGAAATTACTGTCACCTAGTCTGGCCTCTAACGACTTGCTCTTGGCCACAGACCACATCTCACCAGACCCATCCACGGTCCTACCAAGCAACGAGTACTCTCTGTACTGGTTCACGTCACTCACCAAAATCGAGCCGGCTCCCTTGAGTACCTCCTTTGCAGCATTGGCAACAACAGCAGCCTCATACAATTTTTTGGTCAACGACATACAGTTGTGTGTTGAAAGTCTTATACTAAGCTAGCCTTGAAGTCTTCGCAACAACTTTTTATTTTTTGCTCTTCTTTTTTTTTTTTGTGCTGCCCAACTTTTCACGTTCCAATTTCGATCCAGAAAAAGGGATTCGATGTCTTCTTCTCGGTTCAAATTCGTCTGTAGAATCAAAGCTACTTATAAAGAATATATACAAGTAATCTCTGGTTATACGTCCGCTGGCTCAGTGTAGTAACTACTGAATAAATTTCTTAACTTGCTGGTTTTTCCCATGTGCTCATTTGTTTCAATTCTTACAGGCGGTGTGGATTGTGAGCTCTCGCTCGGGGAAATGGAGCGCATGCATCGAACATGAAAAATAAATTGGTGGGAGGGCCGGTGGTGTGCAGGAGAAGGGCTGCAGATGGCTAGTAGGCTGCAGAGACGTGGGTGGAGCAAGGCAAGGGAGCTAGGCTGAACGGGGTACGGGGGCAGATCTGGGAGGTGGTGCAGAGTAGAGGAGAGTGAGGGAAAGCGATGGAGAGCGATGGAGAGTGATGCAGAGTGCGACTATGCCACGAAGATGCTGGGAAGACGATGGGTTGAGCTAGAGCACGTTCTTCGTTCTTGTAGTTATGGTATGTTAGGCAGGAATACGGCAGATTGCGAAAAAATATGCAGCAATAATCACTTGGAGAGTAGGAGGCTATGAAAGTAAAATACACCAGTGAGATACACTGGCTAGCAGAAGATATCGAAATGTAAACAGAAATGAGTAACTATTTTGCCAAATCTTCTTTCCATTTCCTAGCTCTCTTCGTAGATACCTGCCCTTTTTCCTTGTCTCGTTAATCACTTCATAGCAAAAGCTTCTCAGGCTAACGCTTGCGCTCTTTGGAACACACTACATGCAGGACACGAAGAACTACCTGGCTTCCTTTCTATTTTCAGGCTAAGTCTTCAAAAAAGTACTCTCTTTTCATTTCTTCACTCTATTCGTATGTGCTTACATCCTATTTCCTACCTCACTCACTCACTTTATAGTCAAACTCCGCTACCTTCTTACTCTGTGTTCAGTACCTCTTGCTCTTGTGTTCCAGTACTTCCTGCCATATATCACTACATGCAGGTCACCGTTTCCAAAACACGCACACTACATGCAGGTCAGGAAGGAACCTATCGATACAATACTCTTCAGCCCACGGACCTCTCAAACCCTCTGGAAAACAGCTTCACTCCATTGCCACTACTTAGCCACCCCTCAATACGAGCCTTCCTCCCTTTAACCACTCCAAGCGCCCCGAATCTTCTACCATCCGCTCCGCTCTCTGACTGACCCAAGTGTACTGCATATTGCACATCATCGCATCTCGCTATCAAAATCAATATAAGCAAAAAAAAAGTCAAATTTACTGCCTTAACTCACGATCTATTCATACCCATACGCCCACCATGTCAGATAGACCTTCCAAAAAGTTGAAGATGGACTCAGAAGCTGAATTGGTTGCCGAGGCTGCTGAAGAACACTTGAGAACTCATCCTCACAACTCGAGACCACCTACTCCATTCACCGCACATGATGATGGCGAATTCAAGGGCCTTACCAAGCATCAAACCACAGCAGAGCAAGCTGAAAAGTTAGAAAATGGACCTAAAAATCCGTTTACTGGTGGCGAATTGCTGCAGCAATATTTTAAGATCTTAAAAGGTAGAAGAGATTTACCTGTTCACTCCCAAAGACAGGAGTTTTTAGACATCTTCCACTCCACTCAGATTATGGTGTTTGTTGGTGAAACCGGTTCTGGTAAGACCACCCAAATCCCCCAATTTGTGTTGTACGATGAAATGCCACACTTGACTGGAATGCAAGTTGCATGTACTCAACCTAGAAGAGTTGCAGCCATGTCTGTTGCCAAGAGAGTTGCCGATGAGTTGGATGTTGAATTAGGTGAAGAAGTGGGTTACAGTATCAGATTTGAAAATTGCACCACCAACAAGACCATTTTGAAGTATATGACAGATGGTATGTTGCTTAGAGAAGCCATGGACGATCACAATTTGGCTAAATATTCATGTATTATATTGGATGAAGCGCACGAAAGAACTTTGGCTACTGATATCTTGATGGGTTTATTGAAGCAAGTATCTATCAGAAGACCTGACTTGAAGATAATCATCATGTCTGCCACTTTAGATGCTGAAAAGTTTCAATCATATTTCAATGACGCCCCATTATTGGCAGTTCCAGGTAGAACACACCCTGTAGAAATCTATTATACACCAGAATTCCAAAGAGATTACTTGGACGCTGCCATAAGAACAGTCCTTCAAATCCATGCAACTGAGCCTGAAGGGGATATCTTATTATTCTTGACTGGTGAAGAAGAAATTGAAGATGCGTGCAGAAAGATAAGTTTGGAAGGGGATGAAATGATCAGAGAACAAGGTGCTGGCCCCATCAAGGTTTACCCATTGTATGGGTCCTTACCACCAAACCAACAACAAAAGATCTTCGAACCTGCTCCAGAGCCATTAAAGGCAGGAGGCAAGCCAGGTCGTAAGGTCATCGTTTCCACCAATATTGCTGAAACTTCTTTAACCATCGATGGTATAGTGTACGTGGTTGACCCAGGGTTTTCCAAACAAAAAGTATATAATCCTAGAATTAGAGTGGATTCGCTTTTAGTCTCTCCAATTTCAAAGGCTTCAGCTCAACAAAGAGCTGGTAGAGCTGGTAGAACAAGACCTGGTAAGTGTTTCAGATTATACACCGAAGAAGCATTCCAAAAGGAACTTATCCAACAATCATATCCAGAAATCTTGAGAAGCAACTTGGCATCTACTGTTTTAGAATTGAAGAAATTAGGAATAGATGATTTAGTTCATTTCGACTTTATGGATCCACCAGCACCGGAAACTATGATGAGAGCATTGGAAGAATTGAATTACTTACAATGTTTATCAGATGAAGGTGACTTGACTCCATTGGGAAGAATGTCTTCACAATTCCCTCTTGATCCTATGTTGGCAGTTATGTTGATCGGATCTCCTGCATACCACTGTTCTGAAGAAATGTTGACTATTGTTGCACTCTTATCAGTTCCAAACGTTTTCGTTAGACCTGCCAGTGCAAGAAAAAGAGCTGACGAGGCCAAGATGGCATTTGCACATGAAGATGGTGACCATTTAACTCTCTTAAATGTATACGACCAATTTCAAGGTGACGAAGCAAGAGTGATTGGTTTGCATCAATGGTGTAGAGACAATTTCCTTTCATACAGATCCTTAACTTCTGCTAAATCGGTTAGACTGCAATTGACAAGAATAATGGAAAGAAATGACTTACAGCTTATTGGTGGAGACTATGATAACCCAAGCTACTACAATAATATCAGGAAGGCTTTGGCCGGTGGCTTCTTCATGCAAGTTGCTAAGAAGAAGTCCGGAAGCAAAGGATACTTAACCATTAAGGATAACCAAGAAGTCTTGATTCATCCTTCTACCGTACTTTCCAATACCAGCGAATGGGTTATTTACAATGAATTTGTATTGACTAAATCGAATTACATCAGAACAGTTACCAACATCAAGCCGGAATGGTTAGTTGAAATAGCTCCAAAGTATTACAACTTGGATCACTTTGCTCCAGGTGATGTTAAGTTGTCTTTAGAGAGAGTTATAGAAACTGTAGAAACAATGAAAAGAGTTAATGGGGACAAGAAGGTAAAGAAGAGTTCCAAGAGTTCCAAGAGTAAAAAATAGAGGTGGTATGAAAAGTATATACATTTTTTTATAGAATAATAGTCATAAATTATCAGAAAAAGAAGTAGGGACTGTTGAAGTGCTTCTCAGACGAAGAACAATTAGTGATTCAAGAGCACAAGAGTACAGCGTGTAATTATCGACAGTGGTAGACTATCGGAAATATGTGTAGGTAGTCATAATATAAGTAGTTGGGTGTACTTAAAATCAATCATGCATGGCGGTTCCAGTGATTTCTAGACTGGGACAGAACTAGCCAGTGTAGTAGTAGACTAGCTGAAATGTGTGTACGTAGGAGTGGCACTCAGCTAGTTCCAGTGCGTTTGCAGCCAACAATGCACTTCGTGCATGATGGCCCCAAAATAAGCCGTCAAAGCACTGGAAAAGCCCGAGTCCGCAGGCAATTAATGCATTCCGAGCCAACCAGGCTACATAGCAGAGGAATGGGTACAGTAACAATCTTACGAGCTCAAATACGAGACATCTGTGAACAGCTGTATGCAGCAGGTGCCCTATGATCAGCAAAGTTAACAAGAGTTGACATGCCACACAAAGCTAAGAAAGCTAAGAAAGCTAAGCTATTTTTTTATTTCAATAACGCTTATGGTGCTAAAATACCAACTAAGGTGGTGCCGTGCGTTAGACTTCGCTTCATGCATGAAAAGCCATTCAGATTAGATAAGATAATAAAGTAAACAAAACGTAAAACACGAGTGCAACTGTAAACGCAGCAGAAAACAATCAAATAAAGCTGCACCTCACGTTCCAACCTAAAACCCCCATTAGACACCTCCTACCCTTGCCCCCCTCCCCAGGGCGGTGGTAAGGTCTCGACTGGTCAATGCAAAAATGAAAAATTTGTCTCCTGCGCATTCCCGCCCTTTACGAGAACGTCTTTATGTTCTTTCTTAGCGAATTTTTCTTTAATGGAAAAATAAATGCGTGAACTACCTCCTTGACGCGTTCTCCCTCCTCCACGTACTTTGATGTGTAAATCTCTCTCCACCTCGTCAATGTGAACAGCTTAATCGTATACCGAAAACAGAACACGATTTAGCTTATGCCAATTCTAACAGCGAATCACGTTACTATCTAGCGAAACAAGCCCACATTAACCGATTCGCTTCACCAGAGATGCACCTCCATGCCCACACTTTTCAATTACTCTCACACTTAGAGCGCTCCCCCAACTTTTACGCTCGCAAGCACACTAATTTTCCACTACGTATCCCACTTCATTTCCCACTACGTCTCCCCATACGTTTAATTTCCATCTAAGGTGTTTTTCTTTTTTTTAATATTTAGATTTCTTTTATTTAAGTTTTTTTTTTTTTTGTTTTTTCTGTCACCCACTTGGTATACTTTCGTTGTTTCGATATTTTAATTGATACTTCTTTTGCTTTAGGATACTCTGTATAACTAGGATCATATATATCGCTATATACTACTTTTGTTACCGGGCTGTTTATTACGTGAACTAGTTCAACCATACAAGGAAAGATACAGGAAGAAAGGAATAATAGGATATCATCATGGGACTTTTAATGGTATGTAGTGGCCAAGGGGAACGTGTAATCTAAGCACACCCCGTTGAAAAAAACACAAGAAGAACAAAATACTAACTATCTGTAGTCAAAATTGTTTAAGAACAGGGAGATGAGAATATTGATGTTGGGGCTTGATAACGCGGGTAAAACCACTATCTTATATAAATTGAAACTTGGTAAGACTTCGAAGACTGTACCCACAGTCGGGTTTAACGTGGAAACCGTCAAGCACAAGAACGTTTCCTTTGCTGTGTGGGATTGTGGTGGACAAGAAAGAATCAGACCATTATGGAGACATTATTTCACAGGTACCAATGCGTTGATATACGTGGTTGACCTGTCTGATATAGATAGATTGGAAGAGTCCAAGAAGGAATTATTGAGGGTTATCAGTGACAAGGAATTGAGCAACTGTCTTTTGATTGTGGTTGCCAACAAACAAGATGTTCCTACTGCCATCAAACCAAAGGAATTGATTGATAGATTTGAATTGAACAAGTTATCTGGTGACCACACTTGGTCTGTCATTCCTACAATTGCCATTGATGGAACAGGGTTAGTGGAAACTTTGAATTGGATTTCATCTCACTCAAAGTAAGGTGAACAAGAAGTTTGTAAGATGGTCATCACGCAAAGTAAGCTGCGCGAGAGGTTTGTAAGATGGTCAACATTTCCCTTTTGTTTTGGTATTTCTTAGAGAGAAAGTCAGAGGAAAAGAATTGAATTTAGTGAGAACAACACTGTCATAATTATACGTAGACCTTCTTTAGTCAGTAATATTATACATAATACAGAAACTGAGCGTAGTTAAGTGAGTGGACACTTCGTCATTTGCACCCAAATACTTTGGGGAAGAGCCATAGCAGAAAGAACCATCGTCAGATCTATAAAAAAGGCTTCCAAAAAAAGAAAGAAATAGACCACTAGTACTACTTGCCTCAGCAGGACTCGAATCCATACGATACTGGCTACTGGGTGACCAGTGAAGGCCTTTCTTGGAACTGTGTTCAGCTTGCCTGGTCCCTCGAACTCTCCTAGAAACACATCCTGCATATAACCAACACATATAAGCTACCCTCTATCGCCTACAAATCAGCATACCACTTAGATTACTTCATGGTGCCATATTCACCAATTCTTTATATTTCTATACAACTATATGCTTTATTCCCACTTCCATTTTATACTAAACGTCATTGGGATCTCTTTTCCTTATTTTTTTCTTTTTATTGTTTACCAGATGGTAACTTCACCACTTTCTTCTCCAAAGTACACCTTCTTGGCAATGCTAGTGAATAAACCAGTTTCCACAACACCAACCAACAATTTGATCTCAGAATGAAGCAGTTTAGGATCTTGAATTTCTCCAAAATCGGCATCAAGTAAGAAATTGTTGTTATCAGTCACTACAGGACCGGCCTTGGCCAGACCACCTTGTCTTAAATTGATCGACTTGGCACCCAATTTTTCCTTTAATTGCCTAGTGACACTAACATAAGAATTTGGAACTACTTCAATTGGGACACCCTGGGTCCAATTTTTCCCTAACTTAGTAGGAGACTGTTTCCTATAATCGGCTACAACTATAAAAGTGTTGGCAGATGCTGCTACGAGCTTTTCTTGGAAAAGACAGGCACCTCCTCCCTTAATTAAATTCAAGTCCGAGTCCACCTCATCAGCTCCGTCAAACGCAATATCTACATTAGGGAATTGTTCAATGGAACCCAAGTTCAAGCCATTGTCGATAATGAGCTGTTTGGATTGGAATCCAGTTGGAATACAAACAAATGAGCTCTTGTTAGGAAGTTGTCCAAGTCTTTCTGCAACGTATACTACGGTAGATCCGGAACCCACTCCAACGACTTTAGCGGACTTGGGAAAATTCTCGTCAACGGCTTTGAAAGCAGCAGCTTTCTTTGCTTGTTCAACTAAGGAGGACATAAATCGAGCGGGTGGGAAACTTGACTGCGAGATGTACAGACGACCACGTAATAAAGCAGGCAAGAAAATCTTGAATGTACTAAACTAGGCACTGATATAGAAACAACAAGCTGCAGGGGCACAGACAATTGCTGGGGTAATTTTTTCTTTTTAGTGGGTGGTCCATCGCTATATGCAAACGCATAGGGTGTGGATATATGCAGGACATCACATAGCTATTAGTTTATGGAGAATACAAAGGATAGGCAAGAGCAGTAGGGCCATGGGATAAGGTTGTATGGTGTAGGGTGTAGCGTAGGAAAGTTTAAGTGATTAGGGTGAGCATGCAAGTAATAGTAAAACTATAATCAAATCGTGGAAAAAAGCGGCGACCATGGCAAGGGGACCGATTGTTGAGGGTTCCACCACTGGAAAGCTTAGCCTTTACATTTTCATAGTAGAGCAAAAGCATCGACACGAGGGTTGGCATTCTGATCTCTGCTTCAAAGATATTTTGGAGGTGAAACCGCACTCTACTTCTCTTCGTAGTCTTCCAACCATCTCTCACGCAAACAGTATCGATCTATTGCTCGTTCACTGCCCGCTCCCTCCCCACTGTGTCCCTCGCCCTTCGCGATCCAGCGAGCTTCTCAGCAGCCCACCAACGGGCAAGAAAGCTACACCAGTCACACTTTCTCTTCATATTTTCCCGAAAAAACCTTCCTCATCGACATCCAGCATCAAGTCAACTTTCCAACCACCACTCAGGTCCTTAACCTTTTGAAATTGCGGACAAAATGTCCATACATCAACTTCTATCCTCCGCTGTCTCTTCACCAATTGCTGCAAACCTGGACCAGTTCACTATGCAACCACCCGGCCATATACAGGAGCAAACCGAGCCCATCTCGTAAAAAAGCAGTCACCCCAGTCACACGACTTTCACGTGAATTTTCAGATTTCTCAAAATTCGCGTGGTGTACGGATTGAGATTCTGCATTTTTCTTTCTTTTTTTCCCACTTTTCCTCATTTTTTCCACTTTTTTTTCACTTATATACACTCCCGCTGCGCAGTTCCTCTCCAACCAAACCCTCTGGCTCTGGTTCAGTCCTCCCATACTCTCTGTCTCGCTAACCACACACCTTCCAGTCAGTGCCAGTCTCTTCCTACCCAGTCTGTGTGAATTTTTTTTTTAGTTTTTTGAACAAAAGAACCCAACTTAAAGTTACCCCCTTCTTCTGTTTCTTGTATCATAAAATCAGTATCAATATCATCATGTCTGCTGCCCAGAAGATCTTATCTGAAAAGCCAACTGACTTAGAGTTGCAAGTCGCTCAAGCTTTCGTTGACCTCGAAGCTCAATCTGACTTAAAGGCTGAATTAAGAACTTTACAATTCAAGTCCATCAAGGAAATTGAAGTTAACGGTGGAAAGAAGGCTTTAGCTGTCTTTGTCCCAGTCCCTTCCTTGTCCGCTTACAGAAAGGTTCAAACCAGATTAACCAGAGAATTAGAAAAGAAGTTCCCAGACCGTCACGTTGTTTTCCTTGCTGAAAGAAGAATCTTACCAAAGCCATCAAGAAGATCTAGAAAGGAACAAAAGAGACCAAGATCAAGAACTTTGACCGCTGTCCACGACAAGATCTTAGAAGACCTCGTTTTCCCAACTGAAATTGTTGGTAAGAGAGTCAGATACTTGGTTGGTGGTAACAAGATTCAAAAGGTTTTATTAGACTCTAAGGATTCAACCGCTGTTGACTACAAGTTAGAATCTTTCCAACAATTATATCAAAAATTAACTGGTAAGCAAGTTGTTTTTGAAATCCCAGGTGACGTCTACTAAGTGTTGTTTCTTGCTAAGAGAAAATATTAATATAGTTACATGATCCAGAAATAAAAAATATACATTTATTACTGACTAACTTTTGTTCAGTGTGTAGGTTGAGTTAGTTTTGTTGTGCTATTTTAACGAATACCAGTGGAATCTTTCGAGAATCTCCAACAAGGCTTCAAATTTTGTACTTCTTCCTCTGCTACATACTCTATTGTAGTGTAGCCTTTTATTAGGGTTCTTTTCTTATTTTTGCTGGAGATCAACGTAACGAAGTCCAAAACTTTTATCATCTTCTTTCGATTTGGCCAATGGGTGCTCATTTTGGTGGTAGCCCATACTTTTGGGTGCAAAAGATTTGAAAGTTTAGCCCACCCTTCTTTTCTTACTTAAACCTTCGTCACATAACTCGTTGGGAACATCCCTTTCTTCCCGTTCAAGTCCCCCTCGGTCCATCCACTGCCGTCCGTGTCATCTTGTAGCAAGATGATCTTGTCTCCAGCCCGAATGCTGATTTCATCTTCCCCATCTGCATCATAATCATAAAGAGCTTCCACATACTGAACTCTTCTGGCCCCCCTCTTTGGTGCTACACTGGGCCCTCTCTTGGGCTTGCTGCTAGAAGTCCTGCTCACATCTGCCGAATCATGCTGAATCTCAAGGTAGCTCGTTGGTACAAGACCTTGTGCTCCGTTCAGCTGTACGGAAGTCCATCCAGAACCGTCGTCAAGCTCTAACACAACCAACATATCTCCAAGCTGCATTGATACCTCGTCATCTCCCTGAGCATCATAGTCGTAAAGAGCCTTCCCAGTAGCAAGACCACCACCAGCGCCTCCACCACCTGAGGATGTTGCTAATGAACCGTCGGTTTTCCCCTTTCTCAAATTAAATATGCCACTTACTCCGTGGGAATGGCTGGATTTTACCGTATGAATAGATTGAGCTTCGCTTCCCGAATCTCCGTTGTGATCTGCAGTAACAGCGTGAGTGCCACTACTCTTGCTACCTCCTAAGAATCCAAATCTTGATTTCTTCTTCTCCTTGACCTCATGGTATGTCAAGTCCCTGTCCCCAGCATAATTTTGAATAACTTCAATTTTGACCTCACATTGAACTCTGCTTGAATCATCTTTCATGAATTGTTCTAAGATTTGCAAAGATTTGTACAAGCTTGCATCGAATTTCAAGGTCAAAGCCAGATAATCTACTCCAGCTTCTGCTCCATTGGGCTTCCGTTCTACAGTGGATTCTTCCAATTGTTGCTTAGTATTTAAACAGGCATCTTCCAATCTCGATATTTGAGACGATGCCTGTGCCAACATCCTCTTTAAGTGAGTCAATTCTGGCTCCTTCACTACCAAGCTTTCATCGTCGTGCCAAATTTCACATGGAATGAAGTAGAAATCCTGTGGTTCCTTCCAGTTGGAGACGTTGTGTTTAATGAACATAGCCGTATCCAACTTCGGGTCATTCTGGTCAATTGTTCCGTCAATTGTATGCAATTTCTCCTTTACTCTATCGTTGGAATTTCTTTCGATAATCGAAGCATTCTTGAGCAATTTGTTTAAAATGGCAACTCTCAGTTCGTTTAACTCCTGGAAGTAATCCAAAACTTCAGGTATATCTTGGTAGTAGTACTTATCTTTCAATCTATTGGCAATATTAAGATTAATTAAGTACTCATTCTTCCCAACATTCATGTCAACTTCTTTCTCTGCAAGTCTCTTGCTATACTTATCAGATGATGGAGACTTCTCAGTCTTACTGCGCACGGATTCCGTTTGTTGGCACAATCCATCGTAATGCTTTTTGGATTTGTTAATCTCATCTTCTAACTTCTTCTTGTCGTGTTCTAAGAACTCGTGAATCATTTCTATTTTCCTATGGATTCTGGCACTTTTCTGTTTTAAGGAGTTGACGTTGTCGGAAACCTTCGAGTTCAACTCGGTACTCAACTGGATCTTTTCTTTGGCAATGTTTTCGGTTTGAGTTAATACGTCGGTCCAGAGAACCAAACTTGCACATTCTAATGACCCTGGAGTGATCTTAGGCTCGTCACCAACCGAAACCACACTAGATATCTTGGCCTTTTTATCGAAGTGCTTCTTTGTGAGTAGCTTCAACTTATTTGCATACTCCAATTCAATGGTTGCACGTTCTCTATAGAACTCCTCTATGTCCGATAGCCAATTGATATTGTTATTTATCCAATTTGCTGTCGGTTTGAAGGAGTCTTTCAATTCATTACCGATTGAAAGCGACATAGTTATGCAAATGTTGAAGAGTGGAAATGTAAATGTATATGTATATGTGTATGTGGATGAATCGGGCCCACCTCAAATCGTCCAGTCGCTATCTACTATACAAATAGGTAGCCAGTATTTTTTTTCTCTGCTCTTCCTAATTTGTAAGTTAAAAAAGGAACGCTAACAATTAGCCACTATATATTCTCCTATATGGCTCGTAAATGTGTTGAAGTATTTTTTTAACACAATTACTATCGATTGATACTCTAGCTCACTAACAAATCGAGGCACAGGAGGCTTGATTTACTGATGCCGCGAACTCCCCACTCAACCTCCTCGCGGCCCCTATGTAGCCCTGAGGAAAAAAGATAAAGTCGAGCGCAGGGAGCGCAGCCATATACACACTCAGAACTGATAGATAAAGCAAAAGCAAAGTCGCAGAGTAGATTTCGTAAAACCAGCGTACACAAATATAGTATATAGTAAAGAGTGTTTCACGTATAGCACATACTATCGTTCAAGAACCCAAGGTGAAACGCTTTATATTTAAACCCTTTTCGAGGCTATTTCCTCGAAGGTTAACCTTTGTGAAGAATATATATAGGGATTACAAGTTGTTGAAGAGTCCTGTTAAATCAAGGAAAATGACAGAAGACACATCAAGAAGAGCCAAGCTACTTGGGTTCGCCAGAGCAACTAGGGATACGTATATACCGAAAATTGCTGGAACAGTGGCAGGCTCGGTCACTAGCTTGATGGGGGAGCAAACCACAGATCAACATACAAGAGAAGGAGTACGGGCAGCGGCGGTTATCCCGGAGGACGCATATATATCGTTATACCCAACGTATACAAGGAAAATACACAATAAGGACTCCATATATCTGTACCACGTTGACGTCAATGGGTGGTTATCCTGCCCTGGTTTAATGACTAGAAAGAACAGACTCATACTTTCATTGGCGAGACAGTTAACCAGAGGTTCTTCTTCAGCCGCAGCCTCAACATCCCAAAAGATAGACCAGGAGGCTGCTATGGTTGAGCTTAAACATCAAAAGCAAGATATCTACGATGATTCAGACAGCGAATCCATAGTTTCCAATTCGTCATCAACAAACAGCGCTGTAGCGTCGTCAGGTGGTGATACATTAAAGGAGAGACTTGCGGGCTTTATAGCAAGAAGCATCCCCAATGTGGAATTGGAAATCACGATTGAGTCGGATAATATTGATGAGTTATCTACCCACAAGATTACGACTGACTTGAACGGGAATTTTAATGTTTGCGTCGAATGTAACTATAAACCTTCCACCCTCAAAATATCGGCTGTTAAAGATGAAAGCATATGTGCATACCTGGAGGTCATGCTCATCGAAGACGTAGGAGTTGGTATTATAAGTGACATTGACGATACAGTTAAGCTTACAGGAGTGATTGGAGACAAAAGAGAATTGATGAGATCCTTATTATTAGGAGATGTTTCTCAATGGTATATTCAGACGGTGGTTAAGTGGTATGAGCAGATTTATAATAACAAAGACTTTGTCAATAAAGTGTCTTTCCACTATATTTCAAATTCACCTTGGCAATTGTTTCCGTTAATACAAAAATACTTCCACTTTGCAGACTTACCACCTGGCTCTGTGCATTTGAAACAATATACTGGGAACATAATTGCCTCTTTAATGGAGCCAGCTTCACTGAAGAAAAAGCATTCTTTATACAAAGTCATCGGCGATTTCCCTGGTAAGAAATTCGTTTGTGTAGGAGATTCAGGTGAGTATGATATTGAAGCTTATACCGATGCGGCTTTTAAATTTCCCTCTCATATACTAGCTATTTACATCAGAGTAGTTCCTGGTTCGTTGTCGGACAGAGATGAACTGAAGATTTTAAAGCAAATCAGGAAGATATTAGCAAGAAAATATGCTGAAGAGCAACTGATCCAAGAAACAATTCCCATCGCCAATTCCACTTCTCCTATCTCAACGACGTCTTCCTTCTCATCCACGGACAACTTAATTGATCTTGACTCCAGACCTGGCCCAATGGTCCCTAAGAAGCCAGACAGTTTAAAAGGCAAGCCTGTTGGAAGGAAACCTCCGCTTCCTGACAGGAATCCAGCCTCTGCAGTAGTGCAAAGAAGCGACACTATGTCTCCTCCTGTTCCACCTCTTACACCGCCAAGAAGAGAGAACACTTCGAGTAGCGTTTCATCTTCTTCCCCCTCGCCATATGATCACCCGAATTTAGACTTAATTGTCGATGCCTTACAAGAAGTTTATCCACACGCAGAAACCATGTACGAATTGGAAGAAATAGATAAGAGGGGGACTTTATGGATAACAAGGGTAATACAGGCGCTGGAACAGCTAGTTGGAACCAATACTGAAATACGATTCTTTACAGATAAGGATACCGATTTGGTACCACATACGGCTGAACTTATCAGAAAGGTGCTCAATTCATAGAATGATCTATTCTCCCATTTTCTTTCTACTTCTAGTTCTACATTGCTTAGGTATTAAGTAGTTTTATTCTAATTTAATGTACATAGATTTTAGATACCGGAAATATTACTTTCGATTGTAAATTCGCCATGCTGAATTAAAGCTCTCTGAAAGCAAGCATAAAAGCAAGCCTTCCGAGCTTCTGAATGCTATTTCTAGATAGAATGTGAGTACTTCGTGTCTACTGACGAATCGTGAAAGAGGATATTAGTGTTCCAACTTGGTTTATGCAGTGGAGACATCCGGTGCAGTAGAAGGATTTTCCACAGGCGCATACCCAGGAAGGGTCCACTGGTGAATTTAAAAAGAAGTTGTTAATGCTCCAACTTGGTTTATGCCGTGGAAACATCCACTGGTTCAAATGATGAAGGAGTTTCCACAGGTTCATCTCCACTCGTCGTTTCAGATTGTTCTTCAGAGGTTTCTTCAACAGCTTCTGGCTTTCCTTCTTCTTGCTCTTGTTCCTGCTGTTCTTGCTGTTCTTCTTCCATTCTGCTGAATGGATCAGCACCATCACCATAATCTTTGATATTCGAATCCTCTTCTTCAGGTAAATCTTTTCTGAACACAGATAAATCCCATGCTTCGCCGGAATCAGCATCTCCCTCTTCGGTATAGTACTTGTCTGCAAACTTCTTCTGGATTATTTCTCTACCGGTTAACGATCTTTTGTTCTTCTCATCTTCCTTCTTTCTATCGTCATCTCTCTTGGCCTTGATTTTCTTCTTCCATTCGGTGAATGTGGCCCAAGTAATTGGTGTGAATTTAGTTCTGTCCAATCTTCCTCTTTCCATTTCAATAAACTCTTCCAAAGTGATCTTTGGTTCGTTTTCTTGAGCCAATCTTTCTAACCTCTTCTCTTCCTTGGTCTTAAGAACGAAACCTGGAGGCAAGGAATGTCTATACTTACATTCGTTACCTCCGTTAGGACAGACCCAAAACCAACCATACTTACCATTTTCGACGGCTTCGATGAAATATTTACAGACAATATCAGTGGTAGTCTTTGGATTACCATGCTTGGACAGAATAACCTTTCTCAACTTCTCTTCATCCCAGTTATCCATGGTGTCCTCTTCCTTCTCAGCCCTGGCATCGGTGTACAAGTCCTTCTTCACAACCTTACGTCCAACATCCAAATCATGCGAAAACTTACACTTCGTTCCCTTGTTACACACCCCATTCTTGAAGAACTCACACAATATAGACTTGGGGTCGACTCCAAATGGAACCTTGGGCTGCTGAATACCCATGGATTGTGCAGCTTCCTTCTTGGCCAACTCAGCTGCCTTCTTCTCTTCGGCCTTCCTCTTAGCTTCGGCTTCTTTCCTCTTTTGGGCTCCACCATCTGAGCCTGCTACTATTTGATTGATTTGCAGTTGAACTCTCTTGGACTTGTTCTTGTTTTTCAATCCAAACGTTTTGTCTTCAGCATTCTTGGTCTTGGCCTTTGCCTTATTTTTGTCTGATGGTTGTGGGACCTTCTTCTTTGGAGGCATGGTGGGTAAATTTGGTTCGAAAAAAAAGTGTTTAAACTATGCAAAATTAAAATAAAATACACGCCCTCTCTTGTGGATGGAGTATCTGTATCAATGATAAACTAGACCACTTCCTAGCTGGTATGAGTCTTCAAGAGCAAAGAGAGCTAGGAGGAAGGAAAAGAAAAAAAAAAAAAAAAAAAAAAAAAACCAAAATCAAAAGATTCAAAAAATTGAAATTTAGTTATGAGCCAGGGTGATGAGAAGAAGCTGAAAATTTTTTTCTTTGGGTGCTCCTCAGCGTAGTAGTGAAAAGTTTAAAGTGTCACAAGAGTATAGGGCATATACAGTACACAATAGGAAGGTGGTTAACTAATTTGCAGCCAACGGATCTACAGTCTACTTTAGGTTTATGAACCCATTATCATTATCCTAATATATATTAGTATTTAGTGTAAGATATGCTGATACCAATGTTGTAATACGAGGTAGTCTGCTGCTTTACGGCTCTACAGTTTAATCCGTACTATAAACCCCACATTATTATTGTCCTAATATAATTATGTCTTTATGTAAAATATGCTGATACTCTTGTTGCCGCACTATGGAGGTATTTTACTTGTTTATCTTTACTCCCACATCTCGTAATGCGTGTTTGACTTTGTTAGCGCAAACCCAGAGATCATCTGTAATACCTCAGAACCCATAGGGAAACTTCAAGTCCGGTGGTAATAACCCTCTTATTTTTAATAAAATTCATCTGTGCCTCGTGAGTTTGTTCTTAGGTGGTGTTTGAGTGATACAACACTATGATGGTGCCTTCCTTGTTCTTTTCTTGCTCTCTTCCCTTGCCAATATACTATCCAACGGCAGACCAACTACATCAACACTAGGAGAACTTCCGCTGTAGGGATTGCCACCATTACCATTCAAATTAGTACCGTTAGAGTTAATAGACATGTTGGATGGAAGAGACTGCGTGACAGGAGTAGTGGTAATTTTAGGAGAAGGTCCTGTAATACTGCCCCCCGCATTAGCAGGTATACTTGAGAAGAATCCGTCGTTTGTCGTAGGGCTCCCTATTCTAGGGGTCCTAAACGGGGAAGTCGAATATCCTATTTCTCCCGAATCCAACGTTGGGGATCTAGGGCTATTGATATTGCTATGGCTATTCTTATTAGCAATGGTCCTACTATTTCTAAAAGGAATGTATGATCTTTTAGTTACTGATATACTTCCTTGTGTCCCTGGTTGCGAGTTTCCGGTAAAGTTAGATACGCTCACATTTCCGCTGCCGAAGGCATTGGTTCCTGCACCCATCGAGTCTGCTAAGCTACTTTTGAATGAAGTATTAGAATGTGTACGTGCCAAACTTCTATTCAAAATAACACTTGCTTTCTTATCGTAAACTAAAGGAGCAGAGTCCATTGCGACCGAGTCCAGAGCATTGCTATATTTGGTGTCAATCGATGCACTATGTCCATGATAAAAATGACCACCGCTGATATTTGCGTTGGAGATAGCATGAGGACTTTGATTTGGGAAATGTTGATCCCTTCTGGTATTACTACCTATATTCTTATTGTAATAATTGTCAACATTAGAATTGAATCCTAGTACATTCGAAACTGAGTTGGAAATAGCACCACCTACACTGCTCGCGACACCACCGACACTACTGACAACTCCTCCTGTAACTCCACCTCCACTTGTTGGGTATTGCTCCTTGTCTTTTGTCAAAAATGAGTCAAAGTCATCCAATGCAGCCCACATATTACTTAAGGAAGCATCAGGTTCCCCAACCGTAATTGATTCACCATCATTGTGATCAATTGATGGTCCATAATAGTCCTCCATATGGAAATGAATTTCTTCATCTTCATCTGGCGTGTCATAGTAGTGACCACTATTGAAAGTACCGATTCTTGCAAAATTTCCAGGACCTATTCCTCCACCAGGAAGTTCAATCGACTCAATCCTTCTTATTCCTGAGTCACCGTTGGAGTTTTCTCCATCTTTGGTGACATATCCAGAGTCCCCATGCAGATCATCTTCAATTATGCTTTGTTGAGGAATGATACAAGTTGAAAATACAGAATGAACATTGCTTCTGGTCGATGCAGCTGTTGCAGCAGGCATTGGGATAGCCCATCCACTTTCGTCAGGGATACCGAATAATGTTGCCGTTTTTTCATATTCCTTTTTCATAGATGCATTGCCAAGCAGCATCCTTAATACGTCTTTATCCAATTGAGATCCTGAGATTATGACAGATTCATCAAGAACTTCCAATGCTGGTTCAGCAAAATCAGTCAACAACAATCTCAATAATGGGGAAATAAGATCAGCACCAACCCCAACGAATTCATCACGTGTCAAATCAACTAGAGGGAAGATGTACTTCAATAGATTCATAGTTTCCAACTTAACCCAATCAATTTTGTTTGATAATAAACCCAAATAGAACACTAATGTCTGAGCTTCATACTGAGGGAAGAACAACATTTTAATAGTTGATACAGTCTGATTTAAAAAGTCCTTCTTACTTCTGAACCTATTTTTGCCCAATGAAACTAATATTTTCGATAAAGATGGTTTGTTGGCATTATCTGACATCTTTATCAACAAGTTACAAGAATCTTCAATTTCTCTAGTAATTTTCTTTTTCTCCAATGCATGCAAAAATCTTGGTAAATTCGCCAATAGTGACATAAGTAGTCTTGAATCTCCCATTCCAATAATTTCACTGTCCTTCAACAGATTCATTTTATCCAAGAATTTTAATAGTGGTTCCCAAGCTGTAGCAGACTTTAACCCAACTAACACAATTTGTTGCAAACCTTCGAACTTTCCTTCCCACTTAGGTGGGAATGTTGAAATAAGACATGACACTGTGTCAGGTGCGTCTAAGTCAATTTTGGAAACGAATTTGCTCATGGTACTTAACACCTCAATGAATTCCTGCTCATGAATAGTAGACAAGCACGCAACACTTGACCAAAATAATTGGGGAAAGTCTATCAACTTTTTAGAATCCAATTCAGCAGTAATTGCATTGAGGGTCATTAGAATTTGCATTGCAAATCCTTGGATTTCAATTGCATCGTCTGATATTGTGTTAGACAATCTATGCAACATATCCCTTAGCATTACTTGATCCAAAAATGATAAAAGAGATCTAAAAATTTGAAAAGATCTACATGCGATATGTCTCACTGCACAAGTAGTTGCCCATACCAATGAAGTAGTACTCCACTCTTCTTGTAAGCCTGGCACAATGGGCAAGAATATTTCAAGAATATTTCTGACCAAAAGATCCATGTTCTTTGGGGTACGCCCAGAATTACTTGAACCGTTTCCATTATTCTTGTTCAAATCATCATATACCCAAAGATGCTTGGCATTGTCTCTTTGTCTTAATATCTCGACAGTCTCTTTCACCTTTTTTGATTCACTATTACCAGCTAATGAATGTATTAAATGAATCAATAAATTTCCTGCTTGTTCCTGAACGATGTACAAATAATGATCTAATAGTGAGAATGAGATATGCAAGAGTAATGGCAACCTTTCAACCATTCGATCATTTTGCGTGCAAAACAAATCCACTAAAAACACTGATGATAATTGCCCCAATGAGAAAGTAACATCCTTCTCGTTATGCGGAATCAATTTCCAAAGATTTGCAATATAAGGGAAATCGCCAACATCGAGTGCATTAGATAATGTCTTTGGTAGAGGAGGAACCATAGACTTAGGATGTAAGTTTGAAATAAATTTGTCAATAATATACAATAGGTTCTCAGTTTGTGAGAATGCCAAATAATCAATAATTTGTCTGGAAAACTCAACAAAGACTTGATTCTTCCTCTCAAGACAGTTACTCATGATATATTCGATGATTTTATCGAAGTTTGCAGCTGCATTCCCACTTCCCAATGCTACCCAAAGTGCCTCCACTTCGTTCAGCATGGCCAGGGAAAATTTAACCGTAATTTCGAACAAATTGTTCAATATCATTATTGATGGTGCATCTAGATTATTAATAAAAGTACCATGATGCAGCTGGCTCCTAGTGGTCAAAGGTCGTGGTGGCGGCGGTGGGGCACCGATCAGTTCGTCGTCATCAAATAAGTCTTCCACCTTGTCCTTTAATTCTACTATTTGAACCCAAGGTAAAATACAACTCAACGTATCTCTTCTGGAAGTGTAATTAACCATGTTAAAAAACATTGTCAAGTAACTGATTCTCTCATACGCTTCTTCGGGGTGTGCCGTTGCCAATGTGACGGAAATATCATACAAAGCTTTCTTGTAAACTACCTTGGTTTCACTGCGGACACATTCGACAAATCTGTCTAAATTACTTGTACCGTAGTATTTATTTTCCAAGAAAGTTAACAACTTAATAGCAGCAAATCTAATTTCGTAATTTTCATTCCCAACAAGTAACGAAGATAAACAGAATACTTCATATGGTAAAGTTTGTTGCATACCTTCCACATTGCTTGAAATCTTTTCTTGCTGCTCCATGAAAACTTCAGAAAATACAGTAAAATAGCTTTCCGTTGCTTTATTCTTTTCTTGTGAAGTATAACACTGATATATCACATTGTCATAAATCTCGTTATAATCCGGGTTCAATCGTAAAATATTTCTCAAGGCTTGTTTTCCAATCTCGTGACAAAATTCTAAGTCTGAGATGAACAAACCATGTATCCAGCTTTGTAATCCTGGTATGTCGAACGATAATACTGCAGACTTCCCTGGCACTTCTATCTCTTTCCTAATAGGGCCGGAGCAAAGTTTGGACATACAGCTTAGGGAAGACAACTGCAACGCTTTTCTCTCAACTTCCAAAATTGCAGAAGCTTGGGGTTGAAGTTCTTTCAGCTTAGCAATTTTTTGCATCATGGTATTGTATCTATCTTCTGCTATGTCTGCAACGTCACCAAAGCCACACCATTCCTTCAAAAAATTGAAACAGCCCAATCTTGCTTCAAAGGGGAGCCATTTGTCAAGTTCATCACCATTTCTGAGGTCACCATTATTACTAGAAATTTCTTTTATACCTAAAAAGACATTCTCCAATAATTGACAGAAGAACCTTCGTAATTTTTGAAATTCGATATCAGTTTGAATTAAGGGATTGCTTAAAAACGTCTTCACATTCTTTATTATTCCTACCAAATTGGCAACAATCCATTCATCGCAATAAATTTCCTCCATCTTACTTTGAAACCTACTGGTTACATTACTTATTATGTGAACAGTTTCAATTCTAAGTCGATCTTCACTGGGATCCCTTTTCTTATTGTTGCATACCCATTCGTTCATCGAGTCTGGCATATTTTCTAGCAAAGTTTTGAAAATATTAATATTTAGGCAGCTTAAACCATTAATCACTGCATCTCTGACCATTGGTTGTTTAGAATTGAGTAAGGGAAAAACCATTTTGAAAACAGATTTAGCACTAGTTATTTTTTGGTGTTGAATATACATCTGCATTGATTTTTTCCTCCCATGAGTTGGTTGAGTTGGAAATGAAATCTTCTGATCATTTGTCGAAGTCAAAGAGCAAGCTGCAAAAATCAAGTATAATTTCCATTGGTTGAGCATTACTTCGGGTGGAGTACCACCGAAATTGTGATTTGTCCTATTGAATAGGGATGAGGTATAATTCTTATAGGTGTCGGCAAAATCTAAAACGAATTCGTGCATCTGAACCATTCTCACACAAACAATAGATCTACATAATGCAACTGGAATTGGACATCTTTCAAAAAAGATATCTAAGATTCTGGGGTAAAGTCTAAACCAAAGTGTTGAATCAATACCATAATCACTCTCGGCTAGCCTGACCAAAATATTCTTCTTGTTTTTTAATTTAGCCAATCTGGAACGTTCAGGAATAGAGATTTCATTTCTAAATGGCTTAATTAGCTCAAGGAAGTCAGTATCTTCAAGAATGTGAATAAGACGAGTTCCAATGTCAGCTGCAAACTTAGAAGAATTTCTTGAGTGAGACTTAGATCCTTCAGGGGATGGTGACTTCTGTTTTCCAATCCTGCCCGAATCAGTTATGTTATAGATAGCTTGGTCAAAGTGTTCGACTATCTTCAAAATATAAATTCCAAAATGTCTAGTCTTGTAATCTTGGGAGCACAAGAAGAATAAGCCGTTACCTTCTACTTCTTCAATTACCGTTATAATATTTTTCCATTCCAATTCATCACTTGGTTTTAACTTATGCGCATATTCAACGTTTGATAAGTCATCAGCCTTGAAATTGATTTGATATAAGTCGTTCAAAACATCCTTACTCATCATTTCATCGTCTTGTGTTAAAGAATTTAATGTCTTGTTATTTGATTCACTCTGTTTCTCATTAATATAATAGAATTGACCTAGCCAACAATTTAATAATTCAACATATATCTTCAAAAGTCTATGAAATTCAGGAGAATTCAAATAAACAGAATTATAATTAGGTCCTGGCTTCTCGCTAAATTGGAAGGCAATTTTGGCGAAGATTGTTATTAACGATGAGGGATTCTTTCTGGTAGCCAATTTTCTTAAAGATTTTATACTCGCATTCGAAACTTTACTATCTGGATGAACTGCATTCCTTGCCAATACCTCCACTATATTTTTGAATGGAATACCACAAGAAGACACTTTTTCTGGGCCAATTGCTACCAATGTCCACGGGATGGCTTCTATAATTGCTGCGAATAGTTCTAGTTGACCCAGTTTGGTGTTCTGGTCAGTAAAATCAATACCGAAGTGAAAAAAGCCTCCAGCACTACCGCTTGCATTTCCGCCCCCCGATGATCCTGGCATTGTTCCAGATAAATTTCCATCTGCAGCAATTCCGGATCCTGTTTTGGAAAATGACGTACTGATTGGAGTTATCAGACCATTCTCAGACGTCCAGACGTCAGCGCCATATACACCATCAAGTAATCGCAATAAGTTTGCAAAGGAATTGCTGATTTCTTCGTGAGAAACTGCATTATTAGGATTTTTAGCAATAAACAAAAATTCATCTACCCCTCCGCCTTCCAAGTTAGAATAATTGGTGGAAGTATTTGTGGTAGCGTAATTCATCCTATTATCAAACTTCTTTCTTGTTTGTTTTACTTTGCTCTCACTTTCTTTCGCAATCACTTCATCTGTAGGAAAGCTAGGTTTAACTCCCTTTTCATAGCTTTGAATGATGGCGAGATAACTCTTGACTACTAAGACCAATCTCTCAGAAGAGACATTTTCTAATGAGAATCCATTGAAACATATTTTCAAAAGTCTAATTAAGACATTATCTAACATGTAGTTTAGATGTTGATAACCTACGATTTTCATTAGCATGATTAATGAGTTAGTTAAACCCGGATTCGTCGTAGTGATCCATTGCAGCTTCTTCCCAGTCACCGCCGCGTTGAAAAATAAATGCCCAAACAAACTATCCAATTTTTTGACGGTATTATTCAAAGAGTCAGGAAGTCTGTAGAGATAAACCCAAGATAATCTTGAGATGCAAGTTATCAAAGTAGTCTTTTCAAATACTTCTACCTTAGGCTTCAATTTAAATAGATTTTCTTCTATGACATCAAACCAAGCTTTAGCAAATAATTCTTTTCTTGAAACTGCAAGCATTGATGTCATAAGACAAATTGAATATGACCACCCACTGAGGAAATTTGAATTGGCGTTGGAAGATAAAGCACTTGAGGAGGTGTAATTTGAGGTGGATTGTTTCATATTATGATTCCATATTTGATATGCTTTGTTGAAAATGCTCTCTATTGCTTCAACCCAAGTCGGATGATTCGTTTCAGCAGTTAAGATGTTAGCCAATGGTAAAACTAAATTTCCCAAGACCTCGCAATAAGCATATATAATAGACTCATTCATAGACTTGCCGAAAAACTTGCCCAAAGATTGCATAAATTCGGCCAGTTCCTCAAACTTTTCCAATGGGTAATTCGTTAATTTCAAATATTTCATACCATGAATTAATAAATGTAAGCTGGGTTCAGTATCTTGCTGAATATGAGCAGGTATCTTTTCTAAATCAGCTATGAATCTATCGCTGACACTGAGGAATTGTTTCTCTGACATGTAACCTAGAAGTTGGGCAAAGAGATTCCAATTAGATGATCTGACTATAGATTCACTAGTACTTATAGGGTCCGTGGTCTTCATCTGTGTGTATACAATCTCTTCTAATTTAGAAGTCAACTCTTCACCCATAGTTTCAGTGGAAGTTTGCTTTACCACTTCTATGAGTACTCTACATAATATGTAGATCAGGGCCAATGATTTTCTATCGGCTTGTATAGCAGTTTCTCGTGCTTGATATATTTGACTTTCAAATTGATCCTCCAAAGTCTTCGAAGTACTCGAAGAAGGGGGTAAGATATTGCTGCTACTATGGTTGGAGTCTCCAGATATCAGACCAACTACGGTTGAGGCTGATTGATTTCTCTTGTGACTTCCGGTGAATTTAGAAATACTTTTACTTCTCATCAAACTTAAACTTCGTTTAGCTTTTGTTGGAGGTGCAACTACGTTATTCACGTCCATGTTATTATGACTATTTTTCACTATGCCTGGATTGGATGGTGTTATCATCAACCCGTTAAAATTGTTACCTTTTACAGTTGGATTACTTCTAGACAAATGAATTACTCTCTCAACTTCAAGAGCAGCCATTGATGCAACTTCACTCTTACTTTTTCTCCAAAACATTACACTATCGATAACAGGACTTGGTTTTCGCCTTGCAATGTACCCCAAAGATGCAATAATTTTATCGAATTGCGCATCAACACCTTCTCCTAACAACTCTACTATGGGGGGTTCTTCGTTCAAAGGAAAATCAAGACATAGGTTTAACTTCCTCTCCGCGTGGCGAACGAATTGAGTGAAAAGTATATGCAAAGTATATTCGGCTGGAGTCTTCAGATCAGTGGCCAATTCTCGTCTGATCGAATTGAATTCCATGCTTCTTCCGGTGCTCAATTTCGGGCTCCTGTTGAAATTGTTCATGTTGCTACTGTTGTTTGAAATGTTACGGATGGAATTGGAAATGGCAGCATCATTTTTCTCTTGTTCATGGATAGTTGTGGAATTTCCTTCATGTTCAAAGTGTATTGGTTCATGCAATTGTTGTGTAGTATCCCTTTCACCGGATTGTTCTTCGTCGATCTCCTGGTGTACTAGGCCAGCTTGAGATTCGTCTTCATCGTCATCCAATTGATCGCCATTTGAAGTGACCAATCGAGGGGACGTTAAGAATTTGGGTTGTGTTGGACTTTGGGTAATGGATACAGCTTCTGCTGTCTTCAATTGGGGCATATTAAACGAAATCTGAGAAGAGGACGCATCATGGTCATTCTCGTTCATGCTGTTGTTGAATATCGAGGTTGATTCACCTAGGTTGGAGGGCTGGTAAGGTCTAGGCTTAATTAACAGTCTCTCACTATTGAATCCACTGGTCTGGCCAAATTTGTAAGCACGCAAATCGTTTAAATAGTCGTCTGTGGATCCATTCATCGACACCGATGTGGAATCTACAACGTATGCAAGACTTGATGCAAGAGGCATGATCTCGCTACCGTTGTCACTGTCCATGGCTGCTTGAGGCTGGCTCTCTGGAGTCTCGGCAGCATTACTTATGTTATTGAGATTATCTCGAGAATTCGAGGACTCCAAGGTTAACTTGTCCAAATCAGGTATTTCGATCATGGCTTATATACGATTGATCCGTGACTAGTACTTAAATGATCAAACCCACCTTGTCTAGATCGTTAACCGTATTATTTTTTTTGCGTCAGATCAATTCAATAAAAAATACCAAAGGGAAAAAATGCAAAATTGGTAGAAAAAGAAAACAGAGCAGTTCCAAGCGCTCGTGTTTAGATTGGAAATACAATTACCACAGGGGGCGCTCTTTAGTATGGCTATGTAGAAGATAGAAGAATAGAAGAATATGGAGAATACGAGCAGCGGTGTGTGCGTGGCACGCGTTATTTTTCAGAGCTTTTAACACAATTGAAACACCAAGTGTGGTAGTAGGGTAATGCAGATTCGGTGTGTTTAAGTTTATTTTCGTTAGGGAGGAGGAGACTTGCATTTGGGGCTGGAGAACCTACATAGATGAGGGATACCTGGAAGCACACAGGCAGCGATTTGCTGCAAGAGTGCAGGGTTTATCAGTGCTTCGCTTGTGCTGCATGGAAGCCGGAATCGTACATCAGGTAAAGTATCGGTAGAATAGCTAGACTGCTGGTAATGTACACCTCCGTATTCTTGTTGTTCCGGTGTTGTATGGGGTAAGCTCGCACCGCAGAAAATGCAACCATTTCTCACATGACCGATTAAACCGTGATGTCCTGCCATAGAGAAGCTATTTGCTCATAAGAATCAAAAGAGCGGTGTATACTTGCCATAAATGTATCACGGACAGCCCACTCTTTGCCTTTTGGGCACCTTACGCATTCCAGTCCCGTCTTCTGCCCTTCTACCACTGCCTCTTGGACCCATATCTGCCTAGCGATGCTCTATGCCTGCCCTCTAGATCATTGATGGCCCATGGGGCGCGGGCTCGGAACCGCCGATAACTCGATATGGATGAAGAAAAAAAAAAGTCGAAGTTCAGCTGAATCATCTTTGTAAACCGTACTTGTTTCTCTAATATCGACCCTCTAGAATGAGCGAATCTATCCACGATCCGTCTACTGTAGTGAGCCAGTACATTGCGTGCACCACTGCGGAAGAATCGGCAAATTCGTCTGACTCGCCCAAGGAGTATTCAGACATCTTATCAGGGCTCGTCTTGTCAAAGGAACTTTCCCTCCTTCAGTTTATCCAAGTGTTGGGACCCTACCTCACGTCGGAATCAGAATTGATTCGCCCAAAAGCAATCCAATGCATTTCAGATACACTCGCAAGTCTCAGAACTACCAACCTGAAGATTTTATCTAGGCAAGATTTGACGGTGTTGTTGGACTTCCTCTTGACCAAGTTGGATGACAAATCTTCAGTCAGATTTATCTTGCAGTGCTTGACCAATTTATGTCAATTTGAAAAGTTCATCACCTTCTCTCCCTTATTAGAGAAGTTGTTAACCACCTTCCTCAAGGATTACAACCCAAAATCGTACTTGGCTAAGGTGAGGTACGAACTGTTTGTGTTGTTGAAAACCATATTAACTATCTACGAGATAGTTGCATCGTCTGCTGTTTTCGATCCCTTCGTCCAGTCATTCGTTCATATCGCCACGGGTGAGAAGGACCCAAGAAATCTCTTGATTTCTTTTGATATTAACATCTTGATCTCTGAAAAGATCTCCTTCGACCCAGTTCAACATAAGGACTTCTTGATTGATTTGTTTGACGTTGCATTTTGCTACTTCCCCATCTCATTCACGCCGCCAGCCAATGATCCGTACAAGATCACAGCAAATGACTTGAAATCAAAATTAAGATCTGCAATAGCCGGGCAGTCTTTGTATGCTAAGGACTCCATCCCTAGCCTTATCGAAAAGTTGACCTCGACTAATCCCATAGTCAGGAATGACGTTTTAAAGACACTAAAACTATGTGTTCAGAATTATGAGCCTGAAGTTATTGAGCAATATTGGTTAATCATATGGAATGCTTTGAAGTACGAAATCTTGCATAACGATGTGTCCATTTTTCAACCCCACGAAGACTTGATTGTCAATAAGAACTACAATGAACTAGTCAATGATAACGATGAATTTAAGCCTTTGATTATAACATTAGATATTGTTTCTATTTTAGGTTTCAAGTTGGAGGATACTGATGACACCATTCAATTAATAGTGCACAGTGTAACGGACGAACTTCGTGATAATTTAAGTAACGTAAAAGATAAGGTTTTCAAACAATCTGTGTTGTTAGTAGCACTGCTAGCCAGTAGCTGTAATTTGGCATTCAATAAGATTATGGACTTTTTATTTCTGTATGAAGTTTGGGGGAAATATCTTGGGAATGAACCAACTACAATTGAGCCTTCGTCCTTGAGCAATTCAGATGCCATGGAGAGGGAGGTCACTCTGGATGACTTAACACTTACAGTCGCCAAGCAAAGAGATCTCATTGATAACTTTGGCTTCATACTAAACTCATATAATGCAATCTCTTCTCGACTTTTAAATTCCAATAAGGCTGAATATGATAGCTTTGTTGCCACAAATCATCTTTTGAATTACAAGGATTCTCTCTTGATCTTCTTGGGGCAATTGTTGCAATCTTCTTCAAATTTAGAGAAAACTCTCAAATCGAAAACTATTCAACAATTGAAAAAGTTGATTCAATTGAAGGGGTTGTTGTCTGAGGACGAATGCTCGTTGATTTTTGGATATTTTAATGACATCTTAGTGGAAACAATCAATGAAGAACCTAAAAGCTGGGATAAGGACACTGTAGTGCAAGAAGTTAAAGTGGCTCTTAGATCAATCATGGATGGTTCTAGCTCTAAGAACGTTGAATTAATTATTCAAACTATTTTACCCAATTTACTTGGCAAACTTCCAGATCTGCAAGAAGAAACGGATCTGGATGTCGAGCGTATCCTCTCTTTGATTGGTGATTTATGTATCAATTACAAGTTCTTGGAAATTTTATCCATTCGTTTACTCAACAAACTTACCTATTACAGTCAATCAAATTCGAGAGAATACTATATCTTGACTGTTAAGTTACTTATCAACTCTATAATTAAAACGGAGAATAATCATCAGTTTTTGATGAATTCTTGGTACAAGAATTTCGTTCCAAGATTCACGAAGTCTATTGTTAATATTGTCAATGAAAGTAAAGACACTGTTAATGGTTCTGTTGAAGAGTTGATTGAAGTCTCTGGTGATTTATTGGCAATTATTGTTAGATACATAGAGAAGCTGCATCATGAGTCGATTTTGAATGACTTTACCGACTGTTTTGTGAATGGTAGCAAATTAAATTACTTCAAAATTGAGCCTCCATTAGAATCACTTATCTCCAAGCAAAGCGTATTCATAAACTTATACAATAAGATTTTAGCCAGTGTGAATAAGCCGGCAAAAGGTGTTGTAAAAATTGGCAGTGTGGATGCAATTGACTTTATTAAACAAGATATAGCGTTTGCGAAGGATTTGTTAAACGGAGATGAGACTTACAATGTATATATCCATTTAGGTTATTTGAAGAACTTGTGCTTAATAGTGAACAAGTACTATGACTCAGAACTTTCTTATTTAGCTGAATATTACCAACTTATTGAGGAAGTATCATTATCTTCTTCATCTTTGTCGCAAGGTTTTCTTCAAGATTACGAAATCTTTGTTTGGTCTATTAAAGGTTTAATTATGAAAATCGATCCACTTGGAATCTCCTATTTAGACAAGTTGATTTCGCTCTTGTCGTGTTCTAACGGAGAACTCAAACTGCTTATTTCCAAATCCCTTTCCATTATAATGATTGACTTGCCTTTGTTCACCAACGTGCAACAATCTATCAATCACTCCAAATTAATATCAGGAGTACAGTCATTCAATGTGAGACTCCTATACAAGCAAAGAATTTTTGAGATCATTCTCCCCACCCTTATAGAGGGGTTTAATTCCTCAACTTTATCGTCATCCAAATCGAGTTATTTAATCACTTTGTCCAATATCCTTCAAAATATTCCTACTAAGATCTTGAAACCCCACTTATCAACAATCACTCCACTTATCCTTACTTCACTCTCCATAAAAGACTCAGCTATTTTGAAGTCTTCACTTGAGACTTGTGAAATTATCATTGGAGAATCGTCTGATATTATCATCCCACACTTACAATCATTGATTCCTAGATTGGTTGATATTGTAATCACTCCAAATTCTGTAAACACAGAGGAAATCAGATTATTAAGTTTGAATTGTCTTGTATCAGTATTCACGAAAATAGAGCTCAAGCACGTTTTGAAGTTCCAGAAGTCCACCACTATCAAGCTTGTGCAGGGATTGGATGACAAGAGGAGAAGCGTCAGGAAATTGTGCTCAGACTTAAGGCAAGTATTGTTCGAATTAGGAAGATAAAATTACATATATAGACTAATAGAAAATAGAAAATAGAAATGACACACCTTTCTAAAGGAGGATGTAGGATATACTACGAGCAGATGATAATGACATGAGATGATATGATATGATATGATATTAATCTATAGTACTATATGCGAATGAGTTAAACTTCCTATTCGGAATCGGAATCATTATAATCCACTGGAGCTAAACCAGGTGTCAATCCAGGGTACGAAATGAATCCCTTTTTGATCTTGGCATTGAATTCCTTCTGTTTAGATAACGACTTCTTGGACTTCTTCTTAGGAGCTGTGGTTTCCAAGATATCTCTTTTAACTTGTGCAAGTTCTTGTTTCAAATCGTCATCATCTATTTCACTGAGTGAATTTATGGCGGAGATGTTCTTTTTTACAAGCTTATTCAAATACTTGGATTCTTCTGGAGTTATTGAGCCATCCTCCTTATGTGCCTTGATTAATTTATATTTGGCCAACTTTTGGAACTTTTTAGATTCTTGGGTCGACTTTAGTATCTTTTTCTTCTGTATTTTCTTCTGTTTAAGTGCTATACGTCTTATCTCATCGGGGTTCGCCTTCTTGGAAATCTCTTTCGATACGGTTTCGGCAGATGAAACTTTCTTCGATTGTTGCTCGGCGATTACAGATCCAGGGAGAAAATTTGCTAAGAGTTTATTTACAGTTGACTTGGCGTGTGAACGCGACGTAGATGAATTGAAAGACATTCTTGTTGCAGTCTCCGCTAAGCAGTAAATACGACAGGAAGGATGGTGGTTCTTGTGGGCTGGAAAATCATCGAAGAGCGATGAGCTTTTGATGTCTGGTCACGTGCGCGGCTTGATTTCGATTTTTTTTATTTCACACCATGGTGGGTCCCTGCAGGAAAGGTTTGGCCCAGTAGCAGATATGACAGAGTTGGTGTCTTTGGTCACTCTGGACATGTGTCTGCTCAGAGGAGGTATGAAAGTAGATGGAGCCGTTGGAGAAAGATTCAAGCGGAGAAGTCACCTACGTTTCATTGTTTCCCTAGGAACAACAAACAAGTTCAGATGCTTTCATGCTAGTACGCTTAATGTCCGATGGACAAGCAAACGCACGAGATTTAGGCACAAGTTGGGCTATGAATTTGGGACCGAGTGAATGCTACCCATTATCAACCGCAACCACTTGGGCCAGCTTTACTTGGTGGTATCCTAATCGGGACTCTTTACTGTATTACATAAGCGTCGTCATTTTCTGATGGCATTTTTCGCATTAGCGCTTGTGATAGAGAATTTTTGGTTCCAAATTGGCAAGAGGCAACCTGACGTAGAAGGCGACATCAAGCGGACAGATCTCCACCTTGAAGGAAGAAATGCCAGTAATAATCAGATTGCTCTGTATTTTCCAGAGTATTCAAATGCTATAAGAAGAGTAAGAGAGAATGTTGGTGTGTGGAAGAGCCCGTCTTTACCATGCCCCAGTACGAGTGCATTCAATAACATCTCTCCATAGTTCAAAATCTAGCTTATGTAATACAACAAAGTGAAACTAGGAACCACCACCCCCGCATAATTTTTCACACCACACAAGACACCAGACTGTTGGGCATGTCTCTCAGCGGACCAAATAAGTGACACAGGTAACACAAGTACTTCTCACTCACGCTCGGCTACTTACTGCGTTCACTCCAAGACCGAGCAACCTAAAGATCTCTACTTGCCATGTTGGACCTAAATAAGAAAGAGGGGGTAACCATTAAGCTTTTTCCTAAAATACTTTTTTTTCCCGTATGTAGTTCACTACGAATTTCATATGACAGGGCACATTGCTTTCACTATTTTCCCCCGGATTTCTGTCATGTGCTGCGCAACACCGAGGTTAAACGCAATGGAATGGGGTTTTTATTTTTTTTTTTGCTTCAGCGCACCGAATCACTATCATATATATAAAGAGATAGTAAACCCCATATAAAATAAACTTGTAAGATTTGAAAAAGTATACTTTAACAAATATTTATATATCCATATATTAATATTTACATTTATTTACTTTAAGTAGAACACACATCAAAAAAACAAAAGATATTCAATTGAAAATGTCAGTATCAGCAGACGGATTTAACGCTTCCAGTTTATTTGAACAATTGGCTGAAGGTCTCAAGGACGACAAAATCAAGGCTCAAGCCATCAAGCAAGTTAATGCTGTGTTAGTCATTACTTTAAAGAACAAGGAAGGTAAGGACCAACACTGGGTTCTTGACTTGAAGAAGGATGGTACTCTTGCCAAGGCTGACTCTGCTCCAAAATCAGATGTCCAATTACTTTTAAAGGATGCTGATTTCGTGAAGTTGGCCAACGGTAAGGCCAACGGTCAAAAATTATTCATGAACGGTAAGTTGAAGGTCAAGGGTAACATGATGAAGGCCACTGCTATTGAATCTGTCTTCAAGAGTATTGATCCAAGACCAAAGTTGTAAGTTTTGCAATTATAAGTAATAAATATTTATCTATTGAATATATGAGGTGGGCTCTTTATTAAAACGAACGAACATGTATGTAAAGTTTTGTAGTATTCGTGAAAATAAAAAATCATCAATACGAGTGAAAAAAAATTCGTGAAGTAGTATGGGATGCCAATTTTTCCGTCGAAACTGTGGTAATACCAGGAACTTGATCGCTAGATTTGTCTTGGCTTGTCAATTGGAGATTACCCTACAGTATAGAAGAAGAAACTAATTACACCGAGATGCTAGTTATTAATCTACGTACTACTTGAATCCAACTAACCCTTCCTTTCCTCCTGCAGCAGTGAATTTTCCATCGCATGCTATATCATTGACCAGCTCAATTCCAATCATATACAGGTCAAGCTGCAATTCTTCTGCTTCCTTATTGTAGATAAGCTTGAAGGATTTGCCTCCTGAGTTGACTATGAACGCTCTTTCTTGCCCAACTATATTTATGATCTGTTCCGGGAATGCATACTCAATAGTTTTCTCTTTACCCCAGATTTTCACTACTCCGTTGCTGTATCCAGCAATCACTAAGTTTTCTCCACTCACCATCGACAAGGCTGTTACTGAAATAGAATCACCAATTTGCGGGAACTTTACACTTGTTTGTGAATGTTCTTGTACATTGAACTCTTGTATATTTCCAGATTCATACCCCACGTAAACCCGTATGCCCGTAGTCTCGAAATGCAAGCCGTCTGTCTGGATGTCCAGTTCTCCTTCTTCTTCAGCCGTATCTTGCATGTGGCTAGCCTCCTTTTGCTTGTAGCTACATATACATGTAGCCAGATCGTTTAAATTAGATATCCTTTTGAAGGAATGCAAATTCAGTGCCGATCCGGTTTCCCAAAGTTTCACAGTACCATCGTTGGAACTACTTAGCAAGTTTCTTCCAGTTTTTCCCAACAAGCTGATCCCAGTTATGGCTCCTTTGTGTCCTACTAAAGTTCTTGGGTTAGACCCATCAGCCACAGACCAGAGCTTGAGTTGCATATCCAAAGATCCTGAGATCAACACTTTCCCCGAAGGAAAGAACTTTAATGAGGTTATATCTGAAAAATGTGCCTGTGTAATGGTTAGGACAATCTTATCAGTTATCCTGTTTAAAATATTTATAGATCCATTTGAATCGCCAACAGCCATAAGGTTCGAATGGACTGCTACAGCTGTAATATTAACGTGGGGATTCGACCCGAATGGGAAATGATTGCTAGGGCCATGTAAATTGTACGTCGTCGTAGAATTTATCACTAGCTTGTACAAATTCTTAGAGATGCTTTGAAATTTCACATCCTCACTACAATAATTACCATCTTGATCTACAGTTATACGATACTCATCCAGGGCATCTCCGTACTCGCGTAAAATCCAAAATGTTCTAGGTTGTGATTTCTCCTTCGAGTTGTACTGTATATCGTTTTGGAATGTCGATTGAACTACGATTGACATCTTCAATAATTGAGTGGCTATGAAAAGAATCAACACTGGAGTGTCAGTTTTTTATATTTTGACTTTCTCGAAATTTTTTTTTTTTTCATGTTTATGCTTTTATGATATTGCTTTCAATCTTCTTTATATTCACTACTTTGCTTGCTATAGACAGCATTTTAAGACCCATAGAATAGTCGCCATGTCCGCGGAACCTCTTTCCATGTTCTTCGATGAGGATTTCGAACCTTCAAACTATGTAGATGCACTCTTTAGTTCGGTAATCAAGAATAACTCCACGTCGACTAATTCGCAATCAGGTTCTACGATAGTGGCATCTTCACCGTTGGCGTTATCTTCTCAAGTATATAACGAAAAGACGCTCCATGCTCTTCAAAACAAATGCTCAAACCTTGTGAGTCACCTCGACTACTATACCAATGAACTTTTCACGCAATTGTCTGAGAAATTGGAATCTTTGAAAGACAGCGCTTCGATAGTTTCCTCCGGAGTAGCATATCTGGAAAGCAATGACGATAACAGCATGACAAGGTTACAATATTACATAAAATCTATGAATAACGCAGTAAGTAGTTTACAACAAGAAGTTCAGGCTACGATAGATAAGCCTAAGCCAACGCCAGAAGTAAAATCGCAAAGTTCTCTGACCCTGTTATCTTCATTATCACTTGCAAAAGGAGCTGCTGATGAAGATCCCATTACTAAACTCTCTCAGTTGAGAGAAGTTAAGTTAAAATTAGAAGGCGTACTTGGTATCTTTGAAAGAATATGGAAGGAAATACAGCCTGACTCAGTAAACAATAACGACTCTTATGCAGTGGTTACTATCGAACAATTTACTCATAGAATGATAAGTATACATGAAAAATTGACCAATGAAGCTGTTTCAGCAGAGTCTGGCTCAACATCAGAATTAACTAAGGATGATATAATAAAATATACGGATAACTTGAGCTCGGTGTTACCCTTGTTCCAAGGAACCTCATTCCATCCAATCTTTAAAGAGTATATAACGAAGATTTTGGCGGAGGAGGAGAAGCATTTGGGAAGAAAGATTTAGTATAGTAATATAGACACATGAATACAAACATGTAATTCAATAAATATTGAGCAAACACTCTTTTATTACATCCCTTTCATCCAAAACATCCTGCCCATGACTTTCAATACCCTAATATCCTACGTAAAGTCTTTTAAAAACTTTTATTTTATTAAATATAAATGCTACAAAATTATCCTCGTAACTAATGCTAAAAATTACTGACGTTACAGTCTTTCTTCAAGTTTAATCTCCTCTTTTACCTCGTCACTTTCATCTTGAGCTTCAATGTCCTTCTCCTTCTTCAATCTAAACCACTTAAACAGGATAACATACACGAACCCCCTCAAGAACTTATATGGAATAATTGCTTCAAACCATTCATTTGGACAGATTCTCAACAATGCTCCAGCTGGGATAGAAAGAAATCCACAAATAATAGCAGTTCCCCACATAGGTCCAGTTTGTCTAGCAATGGTGAAGGCAGCACCACCAACATACATGATTAAAATTTGGCACCCAGCAATGATTAAAGCAATGGCAATGAAATACCAATTTCTGAATAAATGTTGGAAGAAATCCAAATTCTCCCTGGTGATACGTCCCCTAATACTTCTGATTCCGTCGGCTTCATCGAGTTTCCTGGTAACAACTAATTTCCAAAACTGTAACCAAACAAATGTATTGAATGTTAAAGCACTTATTTGCTTTGACTGGTGGTTAGTTAATTCTTTACCTGGGAAAAAGATTTTACCACCAGCGAAATGTAAAATAAAAGTGATAATTAATTGAGTAACTGCTTGACCACATATCATTTTCCACATCGAAATCGAAATCAATGGAGTATTTCTACCGTTAGGTTTCCTGTTTAATAACAGGTCATCTGGTTTGTCAGTAGCCAATGCCAAAGCTGCTAAAGTATCCATAATCAAATTGACCCAAAGCAATTGAACTGCAGTCAAGACTGAATGACCATCTGAAGATGCAACGGCAGATACAAAAGTCAAGACAACGGCAGTGATATTAACAGTGATTTGGAACTGAATAAATTTCTTGATAGAAGTACTAACAGTTCTACCCCATTTGATAGCTTGGACAATATCAGTAAAATCATCGGTCATTAAAATAATATCAGAAGCCTCACGAGCTACTTCAGTACCAGCAATTCCCATGGAAAATCCTACATCTGCCAACTTCAAAGCTGGAGCATCATTAGTACCATCACCAGTAACAGCAACAACTTCGCCCAATTGTCTTAATGTGTGAACCAAGATTCTCTTGTCTTCAGGTGAAGATCTAGCCAAAACTTTCAATTGTGGAGCAACTATGTTCTTTTGTTCTTGACTCAATTCCCTGAAAGCAGGTCCCTCCATAAAGGCATATTCTGATGATAAATCATCTGGGGTTAAGATATGGCATCCCTTAGAAATAGCTTTTGCTGTGATCAAGTTGTCACCAGTAACCATTCTAACTTTAACACCAGCCTGTTTACATTTCAAGACTGCGTCGGGTACACCTGCTTTTAATGGATCCTGCAAACCCAAAATTCCATCTAAAGTGAAAGTTTTCTGGTCAGACCCATTCCATATCTGCTCAGCCAATTCATTGACACTAATATTCACCCCAAATTCGCTTGGAGGCCATGACTCAATTCCCACGAAATCCTTATGGGCCAAAGCAATAGCCCTAAGAGCATCGTTTGCATATTCATCAATCTTGGATAATGATTCATCTCTGGCATCTCTGTTCTCAATGCCTACAATTTTGTTGGTATCATTGTCATACTTGTAACCACACCTTTTGAACACGATTTCAGCTGCACCCTTAACATACAATCTATACCCATTGTCAATTTTAATAACGATACCAGCCCATTTTCTGGAACTTTCAAAGGGAATCACTTGAGCTATTTCATGTTGCGCTTCTTTACGTCTTTGATCCAAAGACTTGTCTTGGAAAAGACCAAATTTCTCCTTGGCAAGAATTAATAATGCAGATTCGGTCTTGTTACCCAAGAATGGTTCTCCAAGAGCAATGGCCTTTATAAGTTCTTGTTGATAGTCTTTAGATTGTTTAAAAAGAAGTTCTCTGAAAAAAGATGGCTTCTTTTTTGAAGCATCTTCATCCTTTTGTTTTTGAGCTGCAGCTTCATCGTATTGGTTGTTAGCAAAGGCTGTAGAATTCAAGATAATGTTAGTACTTAAGAATATTTTCATTTCTTGAGAAATCTTACCAACCATGGTACTATCGAATTGGGAGACACCAGTATCTCTATCAGCGCCGACTGAGTCATCGAATTCTATTCCTCCTATAACACCCTTGACAACTCTCATCTTATTTTCAGTTAAAGTTCCTGTCTTATCTGAGCAAATGGCAGTTGCTCCTCCCATGGTTTCACACGATTTTAAGACTCTGACTAAATTACCATTTTGCGCCATTCTAGTTGTAGCAAAGGCTAAAGCCAAAGTGACAGCAAGAGGTAACCCTTCAGGGACGGCAACAACAACAATAGTAATGGCAGTAATTAAGATATCTAAGAATGCCTTACCCTTTGCAGCCCCTGCCAATGTATTTTCGTTTCCGCCTGGAGCAATATTAACACAGAATCTAATGAATAATACAACAAATAAAACCAAAGCAGCTAAGAGACCATATTTGGAGATCCCCTCAGCTAAATTATCCAATCTAACCTGCAAAGGAGTGGTCTCCAGCTCATGTCTAAGACTCATCATGGTACGACCATGCATTGAGTAAGGACCCACAGCAGTAACGACTGAGTTACCTAAACCGGATAAGACCTTAGCACCAGAAATCAACATGGGGTCTCTAAACTTGATCTTAGTTGAACCAATGTCTTCATCAGTAGGTAAATTCTCTTGATATACTTTCAAGCATAACTTGGCTGGCTTCTTCTTAATGGTGTCCGATTCACCAGTCAATGCAGACTCGTCACATTCTAATTCACCATCCAATAAAACCAGATCGGCTGGGATTATATCACCTGTTTGGATATTCAAGATATCCCCCACGAGAAGATCGTGGATACTTATTAACTGCTGACCATCATTTCTGACCACTATTAACTCACGGTCTTCCTTTTTAGAGTTTAACTTGGCAAATTGTCTCTCCTTTTGGTAATCGTTAGCTGCTCCAACAAGAACCACAATAAGAACAGCAACAATAATTGCCACACCCTCAACCCAATCCACCTTCGGCATTGGTTTACCTTCATCGTCATATTCCTGCGCCACCCCAAAAGTTTCGTAAAGACCTAAAGCTAATGAGACTACTGCGGCCACAGACAACATGATCAACACCTTATCCTTCATCGCATCCCAACATAGCTTAAAAAAGGTCTTCTGTGTTCTAACGGGTAATCTGTTTTCCCCATAGTGTGACTTTCTTTCCTGTAAGTCATCGGTATCCTGCTCATTTAACCCTCTTTTGTAATCGGAGTTCAACTGTGAGAGCAAGTGTGATATACCACCAAGGTCGTAGAGCTTCTTGAGTGATTTCGGGTCGTGAAGCGCAGCGAGTTCCTGTGGTGTGATCTTGAACTTCAGTTCAGTCAACGGAGACTCAGAGTTTATAGACGATGTCTGTGATATGGACGACACCGACGATATCGAGCTCGATCGGTTGAATGTCGGTTGTGGGACTTGAAGTCTCTCCACAGGATTTATTGGAGCCATTGATTTAGAGTGTATGTGAGCCAGAAAATTAAATTATCTAATTAGGCAATACCCTTGCGTTCCAACAGTAAAGATTGTGTGAATGCGTTAGTTTTGTATGTGAAGTGTGTTGTAGTGTGTTAAAAGTTTTGCCTTTCTTTTCAGTAATTCTTCAGATGTGTGTATACGCTGCTCCTCTACCCTTATATCTTTTTTTCTTTCTCTCCAGATCTCTGAATGGAATTAATAATTGCTATATACTTATTTTTTCCTATCCAAACCGATATTAAGAAATTACCTTTTTTTTTTTTTTTTTCTTTTTTCCTTTACCTAACAAAATCAAGGCTGTGCTAGTAGCCGTGCAGGTGAAGGTGAATTAAATTGAGTTTGACTATCACCCCGGCTACAGTGAATTGGGGGACGGTATTTGAACCAATTACCTTTCTGGTATCAATTATTCTTGCTCTATGAAAACATTTGCAACAAGATGACCTTACTTCTCCCATTTCTGCTAAGTGATCACTGTTTCGCCTCCATTGGCCACTGTTGTCTACAGTCACTATACTAGCAATCAACTCCGCCCTTTACATTTGAGAGATTATTTTTTCTCTTTAAGGCTCGTTTTCTGGCTGGAGAGCGAGTGTGGAAAAGCTTGGCTCTCGCAAAAAGATTCGATAAATAAAAGAAAAAAAAAAAAAAATATTGCACCAAGTACATCGAACTTGGCCAAAATCAAGATAAAGATTAAGCAGAGAAAGAAAAGGGAATTGGTGGGAAAAAACGGGTTTTACTACAGTTAAGAAGGTTGGCAGGAGTGATTTTTGCCGTGCCTCAGACTGGGGGTGCGTATTGGAAACGTGGTTTTAGCTATTTTACTTGCTTAAAATGCACTTTTGCTCACTTACTTTTTGTTATGGTACCGGTGGTATTGTACATCTATGGCTCTGGTGCCGGACTAAAACTCGCTGGGGCCGACGGCGCATATGCAGTCCAAAAGTAAAATTAAGGTACCATCATTCTCTCTTTGATGTTCGATTGGCCTCACTACCAGGTGTGCCCTTCTCAGATATATTGCAAAATGTAGGCATAGATCATTGGAACCAAGACAAAATACAAAGGGGGCGGAGCTCAATATACGAGCTACATGAGATAAACAGACTCTAAATGTATGCCTTTTCGATGCCTCATTTCCAAAAAAAAATTTAATGAGGTGCGTTAAGAGGTACTACATCGACGAAAACAGTATGGGATAATCGTTTATCATCGTTCAGTAATCTTTTTTTTTCTACTGCTGCCTCTTTTTCTGGCCTCGTATCATCTGTGTAGGAATGGATGAGTGTTTAGCCTTTGCCCTACCATGTCATTATTTTCATCTGTCAAAAGCGAGGCAGTACTATCAAAAGTCACGTGTCGCTTCAAATAGAATGACAGCCTGAATATTTTCTGCCATATTCCGTAATGCTAAGCAAATTTGTTGCATAACTGGGATGTTTTAAGTTGCTCACGATATATTTTCTTATAAACCCCGTGCATTGCTGGCCGCAGGTTTGCTCATTCTTTTTCCTCTTTTGGGTGTTTCTGGGGTGTTGTTTGCTTGTAGTTAAGCTGCTTCGTTTTGCATGAGCATTGCAAAATCTACCCAGAAAATTAAAAAATTGTAACACCAAGTGAAAGTGACGTGGAGTGGAAAGATCTAAATCGATCAGGCTTTTCTTGTTACTGATCCCTTTTCGCTCGTAGTCAGATACTTCGCCTTCTGTACAGCCTCCTCCAAGCAAAATTCCAATTGCTGTTTCCTATCCTTGGTTACCTAATCTCAACTTCGAGAGTAGTGCCTTCTTTCTCTCTGCAACATGTCAATTAAGCCTAAAAAGGTTGCCTGTAGATGCTGTATATGCTAAGCCACAAGTGCCACTTTACGCTCTTAATACCTTCTGCCACCAGTGTGTAGAAATTAGCGCCGGTGAGAAACCGGAGATGGTGCCGACACTAGAGGTGATAAGAGTGCTTCAGCTCGTAGTGTACCTCAGCATTACATCTTCGAAGTGTGCCTATGACCAAATTTTGAGCTAAAGAAAGGCCGAAAAGCATAACTTACATGAAACTGAAGACATAATTCATCCAGCACGTTACTATGAGCAGGAGTCGTACGTACCGAGTAATATAACAGCACAAGTAAGTGCCATCGTATATAGTACTATTGTCTTTCTGCATAACCATGAAAAACTAAAAATGTTTGATTTCTGCCCTGCTGGCCAAACGGTTAAGGCATCCGCCTCCTAAGTGGAAGACTCCGGGTTCGAGTCCCGGGTAGGGTTTAGATTATCTTACTTTTTTTTTGCGCGTGCAGATTTTGTAGTACGTATGATTAGAACACCCTCTAACCGAACCTATACTCAACTGACCGGCCCTCTTCCTTTCTCTTTCTTAAGCATCGATTCCTTTACCTTTAGATTTATCTACTTGCTCGAGATTGATGAGTGATATTACATTGGAGATATGCATCCTCAAATCAAGAGGTTCTTAGCATTTGTTAAGTATTTAGTTCAATCGTGCAGATCTACGTTCCCTTATTTATTTCCAGTAGTTGCTGTAATATGCTTACCATTCATAATAAATCCAAATTCAATTGATATCTTGAAAAGTAGATTAACTGTTCTACTTACAAGACCATCGTACTGTAGCCAAATTCCGGAATGCAAATTGAAAGTTTTGCAATCCTTGGACGATCCAAGCATGGTACTAACCAAGTTTTCCACATTTGATCTTATCTATGTGCGTCCTTTTTTCGTTGATCAAATTGACCAAATTGTCATAGATTCATTTAATTCTGGTGTCGTTAAATTCTTTATTTCCCAATGCCTAAGACTAGGAGGTAAATCATTCTATAACGATGATTTATTTTGGCAATATTGGAGGGAATGTAGTCACTTGACGGTAGCAATATGCCATTCTATGGCGTTCAGCTTTATACTGAGCATTACTGTTACTAAATTATGGTTCTTCTTCTGTGTGGCTTTAGCATCAAGCTTAACTGAATCCTGGATTCATATATTTGATATTATAGAATTAGTATTTAGAACGACTCCCCATTCAGTATTTTAGTAGTAGTAGAAGAAGAAGAAGAAGAAGAAGAAGAAGAAGAAGAAGAATGGAGTAGTTATTATATTATATAGTTAATATCGTTATCAGAGCTCTGTTCGGCTTTTGATTAAATAACTTTTGAAATATTTATATATGCTATGCTTGTAACTTTATAAATTTAAAATATGCTGATATACTAGTCTTCTCTCTTGCTAGAACCCAAAATCAAATGAACTCATATCCGGCTCTTCGAATGCAACAGTAGGAGGTGGTTGTGATTTAATGGAGGAAGTTGGCTTATCAGTACCGAACCCATTTTTCTCCACAGCTCCTCCAACCAATAATGATGGTATTGAGCTGGGAATTCTTTCAATTCCAGCTCCAACTCCAGTACCTATGTCGTCGCCATTGGTTCCAAGTAGACCATTGCTAGGTCTTTGGAACAAGTTCTTTGTCAGATCGAACTTGACAAATTCCCAGTTGCGGACCATTTGTAATCCTAAATAATCGCACCCCATTCTAGTATAGATTAAGCTGACTTTAATGACAAAATTGAATTCTTCCATGGGACTGATCTCCAATGCTCCCTTTAATAAGTTAACATTGTTATGTCTAAGGTTATCAAACATCAATATCAACACAGGATCGTCCTTAAGAAAGATTTTAGAAGTAGAATCCAAGTGAACGTTTTCAAGATTGTTCTTGATGCATGTATCAGAAAAGCAGTCCTTATGTTGTGTTATTATTGAAATTGGAGATTCAATCAATGATCTGACTGATATTTCTCTTTGCTTCAATTCCCAAAATATCCAACTTGTTGTCCATCTATCTCCCTTCTGAATTGCTTCAGGTAAAATCCAAGTCTCAATTATGTGTGGAATACAAGAATCTATAGGGAAAGCACTAGTCTTTTTCGTGTGCTCATACACTTTGGCCACTGCAAGGCACAAATTAACATCTTGGATTTTGTTTGCAATAACATTGCAACAATCTTTTAAGGAATCTGCCAATAAGAAGAAGTATGCTGCATCAAAATAACGATGTTTACTTAGCAAAACAAATGCATTCTTCAAACTTGCAGTCTTCCATCTTTTCTCATTGAAGTCGTTACTTAAGAACTTTAACATCTTTTGCTGTTCCTGGTGCAGAACAGATTTCCATAAGCCTATCAATACATTCTTCTTATTCAAGGCCAAATAGAATAACGACAAAATCCCACTTGGGTCTCTATTGTCCCCAAATTCATTCCTGGCACACTTCTCGATGATATTGGCTAACTTTTGATGGTCATTTATCCAAAATGCCATTCCTGCCTCCCTGACATTTCTCCACTTCAATCTATTCTTGTGAGATTCTTCAATAACATTTATCACCATTTCTTGGTTATCACTATGAAGTGCCCAACTGATATCTCTCATTGTTAATTGTGTCTGTTTGGCATTAGATTGAAACAATTTGAATCCAATAAGAAATCTAATACCATTAGAATCCATTGACGTAAAGTTTTTATCGATTTCCAAAACACAAGAGATAACAGTGATAAGTGTACTTTGTTGATGTCTTGTTAAAAGTGGTAACGAATATTTAGTGAGCTTCTCAATTAAAAGCTCAGATAGTTGTTGATTAAATTCAAAAAAAGTGTCAAGAGATTGTATTTTTTCTTTATTATTATTATCAGCAAATATATTCTCTTTGAAAGCAGTGACAGGTGTAATCGATCCGCTTACTCTCACGGAATCTGTACTACTATCCATTAATTCATCAGACAAATTCATTTCTAAATCCCATTTGACTGTACTGTCAAATCTCAAAACTTTTAAAAGCCTCACCAATATGTCCTTCACCATTCCAATTTTATTTAGAAATAAAGCTTGAATGAGAAACTGTGGATGATAGACTGGTAAGGGACCATTTAAGATCCTTGCTAAATTAGATATTTCTAGCTCGATGACTTCCTCCAAATGATCTGTAGCAACTACACTTCTTCTTCTGTAATTACTTTCCGAGATATCGTTCCTCAAATAGCCCACCAATAGCTGCTTTATAGTCAGATCAATGAACTGATCACTGGAGCTACCAAGGGTAACCCAACGATCATCAATAAAAAACTGGTTTCCACTTGCAATCACCAAATAAGCGTGGTTAAGCCATATCAGGTCTCCAATTTCATGTGAAGTATAATCAGATATATCAAGCTTTTTCAAAACTCCAAATGACGGAATGTTATTTGTATAATCATACCTAAGCTGCGTGTATAATAATACATGTCTCAGAAAACCAACCAGGAATATAGCATTTGATGTAGCAGTTTTTCTCCTCTTACTAATAGAATCAATAAAAATCCAATCCATATCTCTAACTTTCTCTTTCGCTGTATCTTTAAAAGATTCTTCATATTCTAGTACCCCATTCTTGGTATCCCAAATGGACAAATTATATCCAGTCTCATCTACTACAGCGACTTTGTGAATTGATGAAGCACCATGAATTTTACTAACGTTCTTTAGATTTGTACGAATGGAGCATGTTTCCTTCCACTTTAATGTAGTTGTATCCATCGCAAAATTCCTCAATTTACCTTCGGTATCAATAGTAGTTAATAGATTCCGTGGAGATTCACCAAGTAACAGATCCATCGTTTGAATTTGGTGTATATGTTCATCATCCGGAAGTGGTAAGCTTGATACGTTTCCATTTTCAATTGTTACTTTTAAGATCGAAGAGGAATTTTTGTTGTATTTAACTTTGACAATCCATGACCGAACCAAATTGTTTTCAAATACACCAATGACACACCATAGCTTCGAATTTAATTCGTCACTTCTAACAGCGGTTGATACAAATGCTTTTGGACATTTATATATATAATGACCATCATTATCCTCTAACCGAAGTCTATCAATTAATTCTACTGGTTTGTCATCCATAGTTAATCCATTACAATCCCAGAAACTAATACATCCGGTTTTCTCGATTGAAATAACAAGATGGTGTCTATAATTTTCTTGTTGTTCTTCAATATCATTTATGATTATTGCGTCCCAAATTCCACCACCATTTACTATGTTTTCATCTTGATACCCAATCAGACAGTCAATTTGGAATCTTTTCGTTAAGGTCACAGTCTTCCTTGAACCAGTACGAAGTGTCAAGGGCTCCCAGATATAGTTATCTTGTGGAAAATCCAGAATAGAAATTAATATATTACTATGATTAGTAGATGCAGTTGATTTCCTGATTTTCCTTATTGCTTTATTATGTCCAGAGAACTTGTTGATTAACGTTGTTCCCAATAGCAAAGGACCGCTATTCTCTGGACTTGATTCCTTCTGCAGTAACAAGTGTGCAAACGAGAAAAAGCATTCTCTTATGGTATTTTTCACCCGATCTTGAATAAGTATGGAGATATTGTTACCAACTAGGCAAACTTCGGGAATGACAATTGGTTGGATGTGGTGGCTCAAAAAGTCTACCGACTGAATGTATGAAAGTGAAAGATTATCGAAATCATTCTGGTGTGTTTCCTTTTTATTAGGAAAACAATTTTTGTTGAAGTAAATTTCCCTGTCCTCATCGTCTAATCTCTTGAACTGTGTAGGACTGTTCACATGAGCAGTAGCAGAATATACTTGGACTTGTCCATATTCTGATATTGCCAATAAAAGTTCAGTTGGCTCTCCATTCGACTGACTAAAAGCGGTGGAAATTTTATCGAAAACATTCCCATTCAACTGACTATGATTACCCTGACTTCTTGTAACAAGATTCCTAAGCGAAGAATTGTTATAATTATCCACTACAATTAAATTGCTTAGTTTACCTTTGATAAAGTTTAATTGTAATTGTCCCAATTTTCTTATTTTGCTATGGCCCATGGTGGAATCATTTGCCCAAACTCTCACCACGCCAGAATTTGTCAAGGTGTAAAGGATATCGTTGTCATTATCGTTGTCTAATAATCCTCCCAACCCTAAACCTCCAAAGTTTTTTATATTAGTCATAGATGAATCTAGTTTCAAATTCTTCAGTCCCGCTTCCAGCTCCTCGTCCTCGTGGATTTGCTTCCACTTAAAATCGACCACGTACAGTTCTTCTGGATGTTCCAAATATGTTAACAGGAACAAAGAAGTGGTATCTCCATAGCTACAACGTGACCAAACCTTGATAGTTCTGTCGTAATTACCTCTCGAGACAAATTTAGAAGCATTTCTAGTGGTTTTGATGTAATGAACAGGATTTGGTTGAACCGAGTACCATCGCTGATTGTATTTCAAGTCTCCAAACTCATCATAAACATGAAAGAGAGAGAGTGAACCGTTCGTTCCTACAAGTAATTCATTTTCTACTACAGCCCACTGAAGGCAGTTTATGTCACCGGTGGCCATTCCCTGGTCCTTTTCTTCCTCTGCTAAGTTTATCGACAAGGCATGGCCCCACTTAGGCTTGAGCAGGTACTCATTTACAGGTGAATAAATATGTAGCTCCGCTTTAATGGAGATTGCTATATACCCAGTCAATTCGTTTAAGTCAATTGCTACAGGGTCACTCTCAAGGTAAATGGTCTGAATATTGCTTAAGTTAGCTTCAACATTGGAAGTCGATATGATTAAATTGTTTCCCGATCCGTACACTATAATATGGTGGTTCTTCCACACGCATTGAGCTAAGGAATACGGGGACGGGTTGACCTCTCCAGGAACAAATGTGAGTGTCATATATGTGCCGAAAATGTGCAATTCTTGCCAACAAAGATGGAAGAAGAATGAATAAGAACTTATGGCACCGTTTCTGTGGAGATCATGGAAGCAAATAAGGAAGTTCCGCTGGTCACGTTTTATATCACGTGGTAAAATACTTAAGAGTATACTTAGGGTGTTTAGCTTAAGGGGAAATCTGATGGGATTCTACGAATTGTTACTTCACTATTAAGTACATTGATTTCTCTCTGATTATACATGTCTATACATACAATTTATATGTCGCTGCTTATTATATAAAATTTCACAACTCGATGTTATTTCTACGATTAAGCAGATACGAGTGCAGGTTGATCTACTCCACTTCTGATACTCTTGATGCTCTTTAAATCAAGATTATGAGGGTCTAATACATCTTCTGTTACTTCAGTGTGGTCAGTGATTCTAAACAAAATCAATGGAGCAGCAATAAGCAAAGAAGCAACTGGTAAGACCCATGATGAGACAAACATGTTAAGATATGGAATCGTAAGTGCATCCATTCTCCATGCAATGACAGCTGCAGCAGATTGAATACCCTTGTAGAAACCGGCGTATAAGGCGGTCTTTCTTGGGTTGTTAGATAATGAACCCAAAGTCCACAAGATGAAAGTCTGGTACATAGCATCGTAGACACCGTAGAAAATATACAAAAACATTGGTCCAATATATCTTCCTTGCTTGAAGTCAATAAGTTCAGCTTGTGTCATTGCGGCAGCAGTCTCTCTGGTGTTACCCTTTTGGAAGGCCCAACCACCACCGAAGATTGCCATTCCACAAACAAAACAAGCAACCCAACCGATCTTAGCTCTGAAAGATCTTCTGAATCTAGTCATATCTAAGGTTAAACCTAAAATGGAAGCACCAAGCATTTGAGCAGCCCAGTATAACAAAGAGTTCAATGATCTGGTTCTGATATTGAATCTTGCAGCGTTAACGGCGTTAAACTGGTAGGTGTAGAAGTAGTTAGACGAGAAAAACATTGGGAATAATAAGAAAATCCAAGGTTCTGCAATTAAAAGCCTGTACAAGGACTTGATTTCTTCTTTCCAGTCAGGATACTTTTCCGTGACAACTCTGGTTCCGTCAGACTTCCAGACCTTTTCTATTGGCAACATGAACAACGAAATAATCGAACCCATGCACATCAAAATCAAAAATGCAATGAATGTACCAGTTGTAGCATTTCCACTCTTATTTTCCATGTTTGCAGCCAATGGGATAATTGAACCAATGACAGCACCCAAGTTGAAGATAATCCAGAAAACCATGATGGCAGTACCCTTCTTGTCTTCAGTAGGGTAAGACATAATGATAGTACCTTGAGCAGCCCAAAGACAACCGGCACAAATACCTAAGTAGGCACCAGCGAAAATGACAAATCCAGCATTTTCTTCGTGTTGCCAACAAAGTAAAGATCCAGCGTACACGGCATAACCAGTACCACCGAAACATAAACAAGCTTTCACACCAATGATGTTACAAATGGTACCACCGAAGAACCCAATGGTTGCAAACGTCGAGTAAAGGGCAACGTTACCGTTGTCTGCAACAGTCACGTCACTGATACCAGATCCACCAAGACCTGTCAAAGCGTTAAACATACCCGGACACATGAAAACCACAAACGCAAGCATCACCACCTGGAACATGGACCCTGAGTATGGGGGGAGAAATCCAAACAATTTCTTATCGTACCAGTAGTCACCAGGAATGGAGTGGACGTCTTCATGTTCAACAGAAGTAACGCCCTTTTCAGTGGAGCTAGCACCACTTGTTTCAACGTCAGCCATTACGATACTTTAATTCCTTTTTTTTTTAGATTTAACGTAGCAGATCAATTATTTTTCACTAACCAGTAGCCAAAAATATCAACGATGTGTGTATAAGTATCAAGTCACAAGAAGGAAAACCAAGAGAGAAGCAGGCAATGGGGGAAGCTTTTCTATCTAGGTGTCTCTGTATTAATAGTACTATTGACAGATCTACAAATTCCAGGTTCACTAGTGGGTCAATACATCTACTTATATATCTTTTTATCTCTGGATTTGGAATGATAATGCTCCACACGAGGAAGTCTAAATTGTAAGGGAATAAAGGTAAAAAAAAAAAAAAAAAAAAATAAAATAAAAAGAAAAACGTCCAAAGTAACATGGTTGCATTGGAATTTCAGGTATTCTGGGGTGCCTTTGGGGAATGTGTCCCAGTTAAGAGAGGATTAGAGGTAGTTTCATCTGGCTAGAGTGCAGCTGTGAGCCATTAGCTCCCACTACATGTTTCAGCTGATAGAGAGATGGATTTTCGCTTGTCATCTCGCACTGGCACTTTTTCCGTTACAGATTACCTCGTTTCTCCCGATTCCTTATCAGTTGCACTTTTCGTGTCCCCGAAGAGCATACACAGCGTACGTAATGTGAGTAATGCAGTCAAGCACCGGTTCCAGCACAGCAAATAGCAGCGCGCAACTAAATTAGATTTTATCTTTAATCTGAGACGATAATGTGTTATGCAACATCACATCGGGCCCTGCTCTTGGTAGATGACATTGAGCAGCACCGTGAGGACTTCAAGAGTGGGGTTAACTAGGGAATTATTTTTGGCTCCCTTCGGTGTTGTCTTTTTTTTTTTTTTTTTTTGCTGTTTATTTTTGGCTTATTTTGCCCTGTTTTGCACTCGGTCACTAGACGTTCTGGTGGAAAATGCCTAACAGCCTTTCCATTTTTATTTTTCCCCAGGCTATCAAAAATGCAAATCTTGGAATTCTCAAATGACTTTTTACCTCGTTGGGGAAATTTTCAATGCAACATCGATTGGGTTGCATTTTTCTTATCTGGTCCAGGGATACTACATTGCTAAAAAAAAAATTATCGATAGTAGCACTCTTTGGAGTGAACGCTAGGTTTGGGTAAGATTCAGAATACGAGATTTGAAGTATAATGATGTGTTAAAAGATTGGGTGTAGTAGAATACGACTCTAGTGGAGCAGGTGGTGATTGTGTTAGGTAGTGGTAGAATACGACTCTAGTGGTGCAGCTGGTGAGGGTGCAACAGGCTCAGAGAGGAGAAGAAATAGGGACATCGGATTAGTGGGCCAGTAGATGTTGACTTCTTGGTTTTGGGAGAGAGAGAGAGAGAGAGAGAGAGAGAGAGAGAGAGAGAGAGAGAGAGAGAGAGATGTCTCTCATAAACAAATCACAGCCCCCGAGACATAGCGGAATATCTCTGATGA